CCACTAAGATCTACTTTCCATGTGAGTTCGTTTCTTTGGGTTCTTTTCCGGCGGATCTTTTTGCTCCTCCGCCCAAGGTTTGATATGCCGATCTTGGAAAGGGGGGCGGTCCTTTTCCAACTTGTGTCGTTAAAATAGCTCTTTATAGAACCGTTGGATGTGTCATGTCTTCATTCTTAAGCCTTTTTTCTCATCTTTAATCGGGTTCTTGCAAAGGAGCTTCCTTTTTCCCGAGGAATTGGTTATGGATATTATGGAGTGTTGGATTGTGTCGTTTGCGTTAAATTTCTTAGGTTTGAGTTGGTGTTTCTTCGTATGGAGTTGTAGGTCTACTTTTTCCTTTGTCTCCTACTCTCGGAACCTTAGCATTTGGTGTGACTATTGGAGATGGTTTTGTCTGTATGAGCTCTCTCTATGGATCTTTTTACTGGTATATTGGCTACATGCTATTTGAGCTTTGGAACTCTTCAGTTTACATCTGTCCGCTATCATTTTAGTCTCTGTTTCCAGTTGAACTAAGTATCAGGTCTTTCAATTGGTTTGGCAATCTTTAAGGTCGAAGCAGAACATTACCTTTTCGTTCTCCAAGACTGTTTTTTTTTTTTTCTCATTTACAAAATGCAAACCGTAATTTGGTTTCTAAATGCTTTTCTGACGTGCAAAGGAGTTCACTTGATAGTTGGTGGTGTTTGTACTTAAGCTGATACGATCGTGTATCCTGATCGATAAATTTCTCTTAGTGCATTGTGATTATCCATCGCCAGCTATTCTTTTGCTACTTTTTATGGTACATAGCATTTAGTTCTAATATGTTAGACCTGGTCTTATTTTTTGTGGATTCCATGTCTAAGTCTGTTCTATCTTTCAATTAGTTTGTTTGAAATGGAGGGTTGGGGCAATATCTTTCATTTTGTTCTGCATAAATTGGGTGAATTAGGTTGTTCATATTCCCCGAGTGGATACTTTTTAATATCTTACTCTGCTTAAACCATTGACCACATTGAAGATTGAGTACAATTTTTTATTATCTTTCTTATTCTTTCTTACCTCTAGTTTCATGGTGTAGACATCAATTTGAATGCCTATTATTTTGCTGAGGTGATGTTACTTCTTTCATTAACTTTTGCTATGATTCTTTATTGAAGATGAACCTGGCAAGCAGGTCAGGAGTGCAGTAAAGATAAAGAACACCAGCAAGTCTCATGTGGCATTTAAGGTAAGTATGGCTTTACCCTAGTTGCTACTATTTTATGACATTGAGCTTCTTAAAGAGTTGTGAACAGTATTTTTTATTTTTAAGTACTTATTAATTAGTTCTATCCGGATTTTTTTTTCCCTACAGAATAATAATTTTTTATTTAGATATTAACTACACAATTTAGGCATAGGTTCTTTGTTTGCCTGTTATATTTCTTCTATGTTTAACCTTGTCGGGCAGATATTAACCTTTTGGTGGTTTCAGTTTCAAACAACTGCACCAAAGAGTTGTTTTATGCGGCCTCCTGGAGGTATACTTTCTCCTGGCGAGAGTATCATTGCTACAGGTAATTCCTTTCCTCTTTGCCTTCTTGCTGGTTTTGCCTTGATTTCTCTCAGCATGTGACATTTGTAACTATTGGGGGTTGCTATAAAAGTCTCCTACCTTTGTTTCTTTCTAATGGCAGTTTTCAAGTTTGTTGAGCCTCCAGAGAATAACGAGAAACCACTGGAGCAAAAGTGCAAGGTTAAATTTAAGATTGTCAGTCTAAAGGTGGAAGGACCTATGGAATATGTTCCAGAATTGGTTAGTCCGTCCCTTGCTTTTAGTCTCTTCAGCTTGAGATGAAATGATTCATGTCCAGAGCAATGTTCGGATTTGCTTATCTTTTGAAGTATCTTGATTCATTTGGTTAACAGTGAGTTTGTTTATACTAGATATTTGTTCTTTGGCAACTAATTTGTAGACGCCTTGAAAAAAATTTCATTCTTGTCTTTCTGTAGGACTTTGTAAGGCTGTTTTCTTGCACTCTAGAAAGCATGGACACAACATTTTGGCCCTTGGGATGAGTGTCGTGTCCTTGTCCAACTTGTAGGGGGTATTTGTCTGACATGGTGAGAGTGTCAAACTGCAGTCGAGGAGGACAAAAGGAGGAGAGAACAAGAGGATTAGAGGGAGAGGAAAACTGTGGTACCCTGCTTTTATAATATTATGCTGTCATGTCCATATTGCTTAGGTTCATGTCATGTCCATATTGCTTATGTTCGTGTCAATGCTTCATAGATATTAAAATTGATATTGTCGCTTTTGTCAAAGGGCATAGTCAAATAAGGCATTGGTTTCCAAACTTAGTTGTAGATTGTAAATCTCTGAGTGTTGGGGGATAATTTGGAGTCTACTGGGAACTTTGCTACTCTGGTTCTCAATCACTTGATTTAAATATTAAATGACAATAACACCCTCACTTAATAAAGCTAACTGATCCTCTTGGATTTCTGCTGGACCAGTTGGTCTGACCTCATTCTGATAAATATGGCTAGCGTACTAGATTATAGTTCATCTAGTGAGTCCAGGACAGATGTTAGTCTGCCAAAAATAAAAGGAAAAGAAAAAAGGCTTCAAACCACGGTCAGATTGTTGGTGGTGGAGGGAATTAGAAGCTAGTTTTTTCTGGTTAAGAGTCCTGTAACCATGTCCATGGTTCAGCTCACTAAATCTGGCAGAGGATTGTGATGAGTCCTGTAATCTGAACTTGTTATTGGCACCGGCATACAATTTGAACCTTCAACTGGTGTATATTTTAATGAACAGGTGATCATTCTGCCTAATCCTGGTTAAATATTACAATACTGATCAATGCTTGTAGTAAGACATTCAAATTTTAATAGTACTGATTTACTTATTAATTAATATCAGGCTGCATTCTTTTACGTTGTCGTGCACATTTTGCAAGAATTACATCTAAAGCGATGAGGAAGACTAATATTTGTTAAACAGTTTGATGAGCAGAAAGACCACGTTGCAGTGGAGCAGATTCTGCGGGTTGTGTTCTTAGACCCTGAACGACCAAGTCCTGTAAGCCATAGTTGATCCCTACACTTAAAAAGAAAAGACTGCTTGTTTACTCTTAAAAGACATAGTTTATGAAATACGCTGCACTATTTGTTTAAGCAATTGGAGAAGTTGAAGCGACAGCTAGCAGAGGCTGATGCAGCTTTAGAGGCACGCAAGAAACCTCCTGAAGATACAGGACCTCGGATTGTTGGAGAGGGGCTCGTCATAGATGAATGGGTATAACTTTTTTTCCTTCTATTTACCATAAATACTATTTTTTCTCGTATATGATCTTCTCTATATTTTTTAAAGAATCTTTGCTTTGTTCCTTTTCCAGAAAGAACGAAGAGAAAGATATCTGGCTCGCCAGCAGGTTGAAGGGGTTGATTCAGTGTAAAGTATGGTTTGTGATTGTTGCAACTTGTAATGTCCAAGTACATCCACTGATCCATTCATGTATATGGAGAAAATGTCTGTCATGATTCCTCCCCCCTTAATTTAGGCTTTTCATTGGTCATTTGGAAACTAAAATCCTTAAGAGATTTCTTGTGCTTGATTCAGACTTCTTTGTAGATATTGGGATTCTACTTTGATGAGAAATAAAGACATGTTTCTGGTGGTAAGTCTCCAAAATCTTGCACTTCTTTTTGTTGTTCATTTTCTTCCACCTTTTTCTCTCTTTTTTTTTTTTTTGTGCAACTTGCTATGTTTGAAATTTTCTTTGGGGTGAAGGAAATTAGGTCCAGCTATTAGTTGGCTTCTCGTTGCCTGCCTTCAATATTCTGAGAATGATCTAATATTCTGTTCTTGTTCTTGATTGTGAATATTTGAAAGTACGGGAGACTAAAGTTCGACTTGCTAGGTTGTGTTTTGCTTTATAGGAGAGCTAGCTAATTATAGAGATATTATCTCTTTATCCATTAAAGTTAATAGAAAAAAATTAATATAAATAAAAATAATATTACGAAATTATCTTTTCAAATATATGGAGATTTTAATATAATTTTTAAAAGATTAGAGATTGAAATACTGGGGGAGTACAGTAATATGTAATATGATTATTTACCTGATTTGACTTTTTAACTTTTTTTTGTCTTTCAAGTCAACCGTTGACTTTAAATTCTGGTAAACCATTGCATGTGGAAATGTTGACGCAGATTACTATTATATTACTAATTAAAATTTAAATAACATTAATACACTTTAATGATTTATTATGTCTATAATAATATTAGACATGTTTTAGATTTTTTATATATTTTTAACTGAAATAGTGCCATTTACCTTTAGAAACTTTAATATAATATATCCTTAACATCATTCGTATGTATAAATAAATAAGCACAGTCATATGTCTCCTCACAAAGGAGGCGCCAAACAAAGCCTTTCCCACGCCATGACGAGGCCGATGGAAGGAGGAGGCCTCAGTGGGACTCCGAGCTCCTCCGGCGGCCTTCCTAAGCCACCTCGTCCTACGCCTTTATCATCTTTCCCTCGTGCCGCGGCTCAAGAGCCGGCGCCGCTGCCCTCGGCCTGGTCAGGTTGCGATCTCCTCACGAGCTACTCCCTCTGCGACCTCGAGGAGCTCCAGAATGCGTGCGCGAGCACGGTCGTCCCTTCCTCCTCGGATCGGTTGGTTGATGCTTTTCAGTTCGATTTCCGCTCTCAAGACCTTGTCGCTTTGGGCACTCAAAACTGATCTTCTTCTTGACTGTAGTTAATATCCTGCCCTAAGTTTTTCTTTCGATCGATTATAAAAAGGATGGTCTTTTATACATCTCAAAGACTTGCTTGAAAGATTATGGGCAACATTATAAGGCTAGATGAATGGCCGATCCTTTGAAGAAAAAAGCATTTTTGTAAGGATTTATAAGAACAATGGAAATGTTGAAATCTGCAGAAACAGTTTATGTTGTGTAATAGAGCTATAGAACTCCATCAATCCAGGCAGTCAAAGCTGGAGCCAGAGAAAAAAAGTTGCATCTTATTGAATACCATTCGTATGGTTGGAAAACAATGTCTAGTCACTATTATTGCATCCATCACTCTGAACAAAGACAAATAAACTACATTGTTCTACTGGGCTATGACATCACATTTTGTTCCAAACAGGATATAATGGTAGTACCAATTTCCTGGTAAACCATAGAAGTTCCTTATTTTCTGCATCTTAGATTGTCCATCCTTCTCGTCGGTCTCAATGCAAGCTTTTTAACTACCAACTGTTGGAATCTAGTGTATGGAAACTCTGTTCTAATGATATCTGATAATGTTCATGGTTTATGTTGAACTAACCATTGCTTCTTGGTGGTCATTGTGAGGATTACCGTCATTTGGTTTCACCGAGTCATCATTTTGAGGCTTCTCAGATTCTCTCAGTTTGTCATCTGTTGAGACTGCTTCCTTTTCTTCTCCCTCGTGTTCACTTCCAGTAGAACTCTCTCCTCCAGGTTGCTGAATATCTTCACTGCTCTCATGATTTTGTGATTTGCTATCTGAAAGGCTTTCTGGACCATCTAGTTCGTTGGTGCCGGAAAATGACCCTTTTGCTGCATGTTCTGATTTGGGATTATCATCAGTAATATGTATGCTTCCTTCAATTTCATCTTCTTTATTTCTTTCCTTGTTTTCCATAGTTTGAGGAACCTCATTCTCATGAAGACTTGTGGTCATTTTGACACTTGCATCATTTGTATGGTTTGCTTGTTCTTTATCATCACCTTTGCTGCTTCCAGCATCTGTTGTCAAATCTTCTGTTTCGGTTCTTATTACCTGACTTTCATCTTCTGGTGTAACCCTATTGTCCTCCCAAGCAGACTTCTCTAGTTCCATTCCTTTTGGAACTACTTGTCGTCTTCTACTTCTTGTTTTTGTCCTTTTATGACGTCGATGTTTCATTTTGGGGCCATCAATGGCCGTAACCTCTTTGAGATCTGTACTTACCTTTTGTTCATTGCTGAACCGAGAGTTCTTTAGTTTTCCTGAGCTATCATCTTCAGGACCCCATTGTTCTTTTTCCTCCATTTCTGTTACCTTAGGTTTGTTATCACCAGCAACCACAGTCTCTTCATCGTTAAGTTTCTTGGTACGTTCTTCAGCCTCCAGTGGAATTTCTTGATCTATTTCTCCCTGCTTTTTTGAGTGTTCACTACCCTGAGAAACTTCAATCTTTTCCAGCTGATTCTCCTGTGAAACTTCTGGTGCAATTTGTTCATCATTGCTTTCACTTTCATCTTTCAAGCCTTCATTCTCAATGATGGTCTCAAGCTTCACCCATGTTCCTTTGCTGGAATTGTCTTCATTTGCACCACCAACTTGTGTTTTCTCTTCTGAGGTTTTCCTGTCACCAGGATTTGTACTTGCTAATGATCTATCTTGGAGATCTTCATTTTCTTTGGTGTAATCAGGACCTGTCACATTCCTAACAATGTCATCTTCTGTGGTAATGTTCTCAGGTTGGTGTACTTCTGAAAGTTTATGTTTCATTTCTTCAATTTCATCTTCTTTTTTCTTCAAAATTTCAGTCAGATCAGATGCTTTGCGGTCTGCCACTACGGATGCTGCTGCTTGTTTTGTTATTTGAATGATCTGGTTCTCCTTGTCCTCAAGGGTTGCTTCCATCTCTTTTTTTGTCCTTTTGAGTTCGGCAAACATCATTTCTGTTTCTGTGAGCTTGTTGTAAAGCTCGGATTTTTGTTGGCTTAAAGAAATTGTTTTGTTTCTCAAGTCATCCAATCTGCTTTTCATTTCTTTGGTAGTCTCTCTTTCTTTCTGTTCACAGAAGATAGAGGTCAATATGATTCAGTTGGTCTAAGGATTACATAGTTTTGGTGGCGTAGTAAAATATATCTGATACATATCTAGCCATTTGTGGAACTCCATCACCATAACTTTCATGATGGTGTGATAGTGAGCTTTGCACCTGATTGAAGGATCATGTGCAATATGAAGAGCAGGAAAATTTTGATGGCAATGAGTTAAAATCTCATATTGAAGTATTAGGATCATAGAGGGAAAAGGAGGACAGCGTCCACAGTGTTTTTACTTTATGTTTAATTTTGCACAACCATTGATCTAGATTGAATGGTGCATAAGCAGGTTGCGGCTTTATCAGTATCGAAAAGAAACTGGTCACTAAGAACCTGAAGTCCAAGTGGCTTGTCAGGACAGTGACATTTTGTCGTAGCAATGCATGAACAAATGAATGATTGCAGTTGTTGAAGTATGTCTCCTAATATTAGGATTTAATGCTAGATTTCAGCAGTATGAAATATAATTTATTATCAGATCTACTCTCTATCACAGTAATGATTTGTGTTATTGCATCATAAGCTCCTTAGTTATTGTAATAAATTAAATTCCTTTATATGATGTCTAAATTCTACCTTAGATTTAAGTTTTTCACTTGCTTGAAAAGAGAAGACATGGATGCTCTGGAGTGGTATATATGCAATCTGAACAAGATGCTGCCAAAAACACTACTCAAGTGAGATATTGCAACTCCTACTACAGTGGTACCATAAACATCACTCGGTTTTATTTTTTGGTCTTTATTATTATTATTTATTTTGCTGTGGCATGAAAGTATGTACACACTGAATGGTGTCTATCATGAATACTGAATATACTCTCTATATAATATGTAGACTCCTTTACTTTTCCATTTTATGCCAATAATTTGCCACTACAACACATGAGCATACAAGAGAGGAGTTTGGACTAATCCCCTTTAATAAAGAATAACTACTAAACATGTTAGGCATCATCAACAGAAGTTCCACATACTCAGATTTAATTTCATTTCAGATCTAGAGGCGGTGTTAAGGAAAGGTTTATCTCTTTACGTTAAGCATCTAATTGTTCCAGGAATCATACTATACATTGGACTTTGTTTCTTTGTAACAACAGTCAAAAGTTGGGTTTATGTTTTCATCATGCTGCACTCTGCCTATCATATGATAATATAGCATAGGATGACAAGAAGCAGATTTTCAAGTCTAATCACCACAGAACCAGAAAACTTCACAAGGTAGCCAATGTTGATATACTATTGAATATTGATGCAAGTTTTCATAAGTTGCTTCATCTGACTTTGTTAATTTTGTGTTTCAAACAATTGTTTTACATATCAATTCCTTCTTTTTCTTTTTGCAGTTTTTAACCAGAGGCATTTCTTGAATGAAGATCGAATTGGAAAACAGAAAGATTCATATCATGTAAGCGACCAGCAATGTGTGCAAGAAATCTTTGATGGCTATGGTTACCTGTAAAAGGAGCTCAAAAGCAAGCAGCTCATGCTCTCGGTCCTGGAGGAGGAGGCCGAGGACACGTCTCTCCCTCAACTTCTGCAGCACGATGACGCTCAACAATGCTGCTCCAAGTGCCAGGAGCAGCAGCAGACCATAGGACTTCTTCCTGTTTTTGCCTGCCATCACGGTGCCCTTGTGCAGGGACCTCGATGCCAATCTCATCTCCCTCCCCTCTCCAACCTTCTCTCTTTAAAGGGACTGGAGAATATGGCTTGTTCTTCCTTGCATCAACCACAAGAAAGGTAAGTTGCCTTTTGTTTGCTTTAAATCTAAAAAGAGAGGAGTTTGAAATTGGTGCTTTGGGGAGTTCATTCTGGGATTCCTCTGTGCTTTGTTATATATATCAGTCAAAGGATCTTCTTTTGTTGCCTGTCAAGGGAGGTCATTAAACTATTTCATTCAATTTATTGCCTGTATCGAGCAATTTAACTAATCATGAGGTCAACTTGTGCAGATGGCATGAGAACATGATGGAATTTTCAATGACCATCCATGTCCATGAGGGTGCTGTGCTAAGCTGGATGAGGTACAAAGACAGATTGCTTGACACACATACTGATGTCATATTAGCATCATATTCCTCCTACAAAGTGAGGTGATTGGTAATTTTCGATCCGGGCAGACCAATCCTCTTTTTGTGGTTCAGGTACTCCTCTTAAGCCACCTACTCTTCTTTTCGATCTGACAAGAGATCAATACAAGTCTGGTACATGAGATAATATTTGTTGAGCAGTTCCATTTTGTTGGCATGATGAAGAAATAATATAAGCTGCAAAACTGTGCTACCATATTATAAATGGAAGCACAACCATGCAGAGTGTGGATGAAGAGTTGCCACCGGACTCCTTGGAATGGGAGAAAGCTTATATTAAGGCGCAAGAGTGAGGACTCTCTGAGCACCAACTTCCATGGTTTTTTTATGTGTACAACAAGTAAGGTGAGGGGGGCATTGGAATGGTTGCCAGTGGTCATCGTCATTTTTATATATAGCTTCTTCTCTGTCCGAAAGGCTATTATCATGCAAGAAAGTAAGTAAAGGCTTTGTTGACTTCAAGGATTTGTCGGATATTGATCTGAGGTGTATGATCAAGTATCGATATCCAAATACATCATTTGATATCGATTTGTTTGACTTTTACATATTAGTAGCTCAAGGTAATGTAATATTTACGTGAACAATTAGGTATAATTTCGATAGATAGGGAAATAAGGTGAGAAAAAATTATATGATAAAGAGAATTATAGATTGTATAATTAGATGATATGAAATAATCTGAGAGAGAGAGAGAGAGAGAGAGAGAGAGAGAGAGGAATTTTAATAAGAATTTAAATAATTTAATTTAATCAAAAAATATATATTTTATAGAGCTCACGGAAAGAAGTTGATCTTAAATAGTTGGGAGATTAAGATTTCATTGGTATTGTTGTTGTTGTTGTTGTTGTTGTTACGATGAGGAATCCATCCCATGCAGTGAATCTTAAATAATTAGGACATTAAGATTTTGGTATCGTATATTATGAAATCGACATAGATCCTTAGATTGATTCTACAAACATCTCATATAGCGTGATGTGCATGAACTATAGTTGGGTGTCCAACAACATCTAGTATTTCTTCTATGAGTGCATGGAATGGAATTAAACTTTCTTCTTCTGCTATATATGGAGCAAGTCTTGATCGTTTGATGCCCCCCCCGACCAACAACGTGAAGTCAACCACATAGCAAGTCTGGATCGAGCTCATACATAGCCAACTACTACAAAATACAACTCACCACCTTTTTATATGGATCAAATCTGAATCGTTCTCCAACAAGCAACACAGTTAACTACAGAGTACGATCAAATGGTGGAGAAAGCACCATGAAATCCTCAGTGGAAACTCTATTGAGTGAACTTAATGGAGAGAGAAACGAAGCCCACATAAATGCAAGAAGGAAAACCTTCTCCAAGTGCAACAGTCGACATAAATGCAGTCATAATCTGAAATAAGTCGTAAGAGGCAAAATTCGAAAGGATGGATTTCCGAGCAAAATTAAACAGAAATGCAGTCAGATTATTGTATTTCTAAGTGCTTAACCAAACATTTGAATGTTCAAACCCTTTTATATAATTGCACTTTCGTTTAACCAAACAACCACATTATTCTCCTCATTGGGTCTGCCTGTCTCCTGTCCCTTCGAAATGATACATAAGGCTTGTCCAAGGAACATAAATGAGCATCAATCATCAATAAACTTTAGGAGAAACAGCAGAAGGGCATTTTCCCAAAGTATTCCACAATATGTACTCTCCGGAGGATGCCTGTCAAAGCCAAACAATCCGTGAATTGTAGGTACCAATAGAACAATCTCATATATATATATATATACACACACAAATTAATAACACCAAGTCTCCAACCTAAAAATAAAAACAAAATTAAACATGCCGGTTTGGACGGGCAATAAACAGGATTAGAGAACTCATGCCACAAGAACATCGTTTAAATGTTAACACAGGATTATTTGAAGCCTTATCAGTGGATCTCATTATATTCATTTTTGACAATACTGGAGGAAGTTTGGTGATAAAGAGAAAAGAGATTGTCATCCAACTTGATTATAATCAGCAGAAGAGTATTGATAAGTTTATCCCTTTTCTTACAATCAAAGATTGGTAACAGAATATTTCTTGTGACGCTCACATTAGAAGTTGAATGATGGTTTATAGGGCTCTATAAGCGTACTTCCATTAACTTGGGCTTAAGTCTCATCAAGTCAGTTTTACCATCAGGTTGGATCATCTTCATATCGGATCTCATTGATTTTCTGTAGAAAGAGTTGAGCCATGATGAGCAATGTGGGTTTAATAATTGACTTTTCAAAATACAATAGTGGTCAAGGGAATTATGGACCCCACATCTGCACTCAGTGGATCCAAGTTAGAGAAACCACTGAACTATTAGTTCATATTTTGATTAGTTAAGAAGGGGTTAAGGAACTATGAAATCAGTCCTAAATTGTTCATAGATGCAAATTTAGTGAAATTCAAAAGCTTATAGTCAACAGGTAACCATCTGCTCCCATAATCACATAATATCATGATATTTGAATTGAGTTATACCAAAAAATTTATACTTCAGATTCTACATATCTGCTTGTTTACAATAATGGCTCATCTCACAAGATGTTTGTACGTTTAGTTATATTCAGGCAGGGAAAAAAAGAAACCATGAACCCTGAAACCTGATATTTCTACTTTCATTGCATGATTTTGTTTCCTCTTATCAATTTATTCCTTTGCCCTTGAATTATGATTAACAAAAGACTTGAAAATACTCCAGAAAATTTGAAAATAGGGCACGGTAAAATCATATTTTGAAGTTCATAGCCTGCAATCAGTTATCAAGTAGCTCAAGCATGGTGATGAAAATCAAGCATTAACCTCCATTTGTTCATAATCATCAGATCTATTTGTAAGATACAACAATTTAAAGTTTGCAAGCATTATCCATATGCTTAGTTGTGATGATCACCATGAAATGGAAAATATAGAGACAATAATAAAATCTACCTGCATAGAGAGTTCAACTGGTGCTTTCAAAGCCGGATAGATGCTTACCTGCACAAGAGATGAAATGTCACCAGATCAATCATACGAATAAGGCTGGACAGATGCTTACCTGTAAAACCGCATAATTGGACACATACATACAGATGTGTATATAGATGTGCAACTTAGTGCATGTATGCATATGAATGCAAGCCACAATGAAAATCATTTGTTTGATTTCCAAGGGATTCTTGAAGAAAAAGTACCATAAATTAATAAATAAAAATTCCAATAATAGGATCAAAAGTAATTTGAGAACAAATATTATGTGGGCATGAGTTGTATGACCTAATAAAGACAGCAATTAGACTCAGTTGTTGCATTTTTCTAAGGTTTTGTTGCAATTAGCCCAAACCTGCTGATCCTGCCAAACCTAATTGATGGTCAATCCTGGGGGTTCCATCGGTTACCAGCTATTTGAACCAATTCCAGTCAGCTCCAGCCGATCTCAAGCCAATTTTAGGCTATGACAAATAAACCCAATCTTAAGATCTAACTTGCCCGATCCAGACCTGTTTGACCCTAAATTGTTCGACAAATCCAACTCAATTGCAGTTCTGCAAACCTTGCAAAGTGTGTTATTTACTGAAGTTATAATATTAAAAGATCAAAGAGCATAAATTCACATAGTATTAGGATTTAAAACAGAAGCAATGATGACACACATTCATGGTTGCCCAATATAGCTCTTTTGGAAAAGGTATAACCGTAAAAATGGAAATAATTACCAAAGCCAATCACATATTCAACTGAGGCACAACCACAAGGGATGTTTTGTTCTCATCGTATAAATATATCAAAATAACAGAAGGCTATGATCCAATGTCACGAACAAAAAAAGAGTCATAAATAACACTTTGTTCTTGTGAAAAAACAAGGCAAATAACACAAGGTCTTTCAATTAGAGTTGAAGAAGCACTAGAAGGAGACAAATATAAGCAATGGGCAGGCAGGAAAGCATGCTACTGACTTTCACAAAATTACTTTCCAAAAGTTCTTTGTAACATTTGATCTATATTTGTTGTAAATGATAAGACATGAGACCTTTGATGTTCTCCATAATAAGTAATTGCTTAATACGATGATGAGATGTATGGAAAAAATTATTAAGACTTACCGATTTTGGATCTATTGACATTCCAGATAGCGTGCCTCCAATAATCTTAAATGAAACCTGAAAGTTCATGCATCAGTACCCAAAGAAGATGGCTCTAAACATGGTAAGAAAAGTGAAAAAATATATATTTCCATCTGAGAAATGCAAAGCAAATATGCAGTATGTAAATTGATATGCCTATGTAGCAGTCTCAGGCAAACAGTAGGTGATCAGTGTTGCTTATACACAAAATTTACTGCAACAAACTTTATGGTAAGTGATTTGCAGGTACCACTACTGAACATAACGAAAGTGATTTGCAGGTGGCAACTATTGAACATATCAAGCAAAATATATTGCTACCACCATACTAAAAATGGCCTCTTACATGCACAATCAGGTAGCAGAAGCTCCCTTGCACGACTCTGAATCCTTTGTATCATGTTCATGAGGCTCAAGCATTGCCTCATCATGGCATGGGTGAGTGCCAATATCTTTTTTAGCATAGTTTGATCTCGTGCCATGTCAATCAGCATGCCCCTATGCTGATCAGCAATGCCAATACTTGGCCCAATCATATGTCAATACCTCCAACTCGATTGACATGGGTTGTGCAAATACCTCTTCTGGATGGTATGTTTTGACTTGTGTTGATTGGCATTACAACTATTGGAAGAAGGTGAAGGAAAATATTCATTACATTAGAAAAGAATTTATATGGAACCAATGTTTTTTATAGGCACCTGGGCGCTTGCCCAAGTGCTCGGGTGAGGCGACACCCAAGCGCCTCGCACAACCTCTAAGCAAGGATTTTGATGAAGTGCCACCCAAGCACTCGCCTGAGCCCAAGCATTGGGCTCCTCGGCCAAGCGCCGAAGTGAAGAGGCAAGCTGGTATCGGGTGGGGTTTGCGCCTGGTTCAATTGAACCAACTAAAGTGCCCTAACAAAAACTCATGCCGCTCCCGACCCAAGTTTGAAACCCTATGTCTGTTGCTGCCGTTGCCTTTGTCCGTCGCTGCCGCCTTCATCCGTAGGTTCCTCCCCCATTGCCACCTTCGTCCGTAGCTTCCTCCATCGCCCTCTTCTATCCCACCTTCCTCCATATATATTTTTTATATTTTTAATATTAAGGAGTATCTCGCTGCGCTCCGACGAGCACCTTACACCTTGAGCATTTTGAGACCTTGGCGTCTTTCAGCACCTAGTGTTTTTAAGAACATTGTATAGAGCTAGCATCATGACATGACTAGTAGTAGACTTAGGTTTAAAAGAACTACATAATGTTTAATCTTCCATTGTCATTAGAGAAACCAATAAAAACACAAGAAAATTGTGAAAAATCTTGTTCGTAGAGAGACAAGACGTGGTTGCTATAGGTGCTTGAAGATCTTGATAGGGACTCAAACCTCATGAAGCACCAACCAGCAATATGAAATTCTTTTAAACAGTAAACGTTTCTTCTGATCGTATTTCAGTAAAAGAAATATTCTTCTCTCTCAAACCTTAGCATTAACAAGCTTTAATGCAGCATGGAGGATCAAAACATTCTGATGATTGCTTGCTAAAGCTTCTGAGACAGTCATCCAGACCAGTATGACAACTGTTAGACCTCTTGTAACTCATCTTTCACTAAAAGCTTAATAAATACAAGAACAAGCTCTTTTAATTTGCGGGATTATCCATCAAACACTTATCCATCAAGAAGCTCTCTTTAAGATTTGAGGGATTATCCATCAATCTTAGCCATCATATATTGCTTTTAACAAATGATTATATGAAACTCAACCAGAAAAATAACTGAATGACTACTTGCCACACATCATGTCACCAATAAATAATATTTTTGAATCACATAAAGAAAAATACAAATGCATATACTGAAGCACAAGAGTATTTAGTGATAGCAACATAAACATGACACTGATGTATCCAATATTCATGAGATAATAATATGCTTACTATCTCTACCATTAGCGAAAGAAGATTACAAAACAAGATGGAAATTTATATAAACATATTGTATGTATGTTGAAAAAAGACCATGTAATAAATAACCTCATGGGAATAGGAAGCTTACCTTTGCATAATTGTATGCTTGCCAACAAAATGGCTCTTCCAAATCTACTGACTCTAAGTCCTTATTCATTTTTTCCATCAAATTATCCTCAATGTTGAGAGTATTATTAGCAGTGTCCTGCTCAGCATCACTATGAGTATCTTCTTCAACCATATTTCTTGAAACTGACCTCGGTAGTGAAGGACCCCTCTGGATTGTCCTTGAAAAAAATTTTATTGTACCTGGAAAAGTTGCCTCAATGCTTTTACCGGTGATACCCCTGCCACTTGTAACAATTTTCCATTCCAAGGAATGCTCTGTCATTGAAACTGTTCCAGTTGAAGGATTCCCATCAAAAGATAGCACTCTTCTACGTGGAAATGGCATGGAAACAGTACAAAAGTCCATAGAAAAAGGAGCCCTGTAACCCTCCATCAACTGCAACTTGAACAAAAATGCACCTTCATCCTCAGAGACCATAGATAACTGGTAAAAGCCTTTTACTGGTGGATCAGGACCACATAAGGCCTGATAACGCATCAAAACAAAATTCCCGAGTGGCGGAGAAAACATTAGAGCTTGTTTATCATCACCATGTTCTGATACCTGAACACAATGGTGAAATGATACTATTTCCATGCTAGCATTCTTCAGTCCACTCAGAGGTAAGGAAACATCAGGCAATCCTTCTAAGTCCGCTCTGCAGTTTACTTGACCTGTAATTGAAATAGAATCTGGTATTTCATCACGGTCGTACATGGCAGCATTTATCGTCTCAAGAATCATGAACAACATCCGCTGCTTTCCTTTGTGTAAATATGGCTTCCAGGCTGGTTGCTTGAGTTCTGCAGGTGGCAAATCTGAAGAAGAAAAACCATGGGCCTTGATTACAGATACATGTGCAAAGTCTAGGTCAAGAGGCGTTCCTGAAAGCAAATATTAGATGAAAGAAAAAAAATTATCATAAAATCTGAACAAGATTATGAAATATAGGAACAATATTAAGAAACAAAATCTGAGATGAGAAATACCATAACAGAAAGTACCAACCAAAGGGCATTGAGCTGCTCAGAAAAGTAAGCAATGCATCTTTGTCTATTGGTCTGGATGTGCTTTTGGAAGCATCCATTGCTATAGTACCAACTGCAGAAGCACCTGAAGTACTTGAGGCTGCAACAGAAGCTCCAACAGGTTTTGCCCTGGCTGATATGCCTATACTACCAGTCAGTGAGTCCAACAACCCTCCTACGGATGGAGATGAACTAATGACCACATCAGGGTCAACAACGTCACCAGTAATTATGTCCCCCACAGTGTGTGCCACCATAATTGCTCTGTGAGAAATAAGATCTTATAAGCATTCATAACACATTAAACCAATTCCACATTCCAAAACCTATTACAAGAATGTGGAAACAGAAGAAAAATGAGAACAAAAGAGCATTGACCAATTAAATTTACTGAATCGAACACAGAAGCAGCTTGAGATTTCAAGCTACACGACACCTACTGCAATACAGAATTAACTTTCAGACCAAGAAAATGAACATCAATATCTTCTTGTTGAGAACAGCATTAAAAGGGAAGTAAACAGAACATGTGGAACTGGGAACTAAACCACTCAGTATAAGACAAAAAGTTGCCAAAATCAACAAAACTAAGTTGGTAAGATGGTTTATTTTTAGTCTCTTAAGCATCCTCTCTTCCCAACACCTCATTTATCCCCGAATCCCAGAATCTGATATGCAGAATCACTAGTTCATAGTTCTGAACCAATGAAGCTCTTTATCATCCTCCTTGTGCAGCAACAAACCTTTCAGTTAATTTACAAACTAGTCCTGTTAACATATTGTTTGCTCTCATCAGTAACACTGGTATTCTCAACAAACCACATCACTCGGAGAAAACTGAGCCTCATTGAAAGGAAACAACAAAAATATAAATGAATTGTCAGATAATTTTTGTCCTTAAACCAGATATAGATTATCTCCAGAAGTTCATAAGACACCCGAAAACAGATATTACTCAAATTTCCATCAAAATGCAGAATTATAAACCTTGAACTTTCAGCCACTAATCCTTATTAAGCAACTAAAAGGCTCTTCTATGCAGCTTCATCCCTTTACCTAAGCTGTCATTGTCAGGTTACAAGAACTCCCGGTAACCATAATGTTCTATTAGACTACAAACTGAAGCCGCCAAAAATCACAATTAAACACCTCATCTCCAGTCATCGCAACTTTTCTGCCACACAGTCATATTGGACAGTGATATTTGTTGAATGCTTCTCAATTACATCAGACACTTCCCAGGATATCCAATATTTACTATAAGAGGGCACATTGTACTTTTTGGACCAACTTCAAGGATGGTTTTCTTCAGATTTTGTTTTCTTAGTATGCTCTTCTTATGATGGACAAAACTGATTAAAGATTTTTCAAATATGTAACATGCCATTTGTGTCGAGTATCATATTATAATAAATGAATTAAGAGAGCCAAATTCATTTTTGCCCACTATAAGTTTTATTTACTTTCTCTATGTTTCTGGAAGTGTTGTCATTATAAAAACTTATTTCTTAATGGTACTTGTTAATTGCTAGCTTATCGCGTTATACAACACCATATTTGAACACTCTATATGGATGTCATGACATGTAAAACATTCTGATACATTATTTAAAATAATATTTATTCATTTTATCCATGATGTAATCATTATGTAACTCATAAAGTTGTAAGATCGGTCATGATTTATGGATCAAAATGATGGACATATAAGAATATTCAAATTAGCATTGCCAAAATGAAAATATTGAGATATATTAGTGGCATCAGTTGAAATAAATAAAATAAGGAAATCTATAGATTAATTTGGTCACTAGAATAAAGAATAAAATAGCAGCTATGGTAGAAAATAAAATAAGGAAAGGATAGAATAAAGAATATTTACATTTGTAAATAGCAGTTGTGGTAGAAAATAAAACAACGGCAACTGCTTAAGATGATAAGAAGACAATCACAGGAGACCCATGGATGCCCTGGTTAGAATAGGTGCGTCAATCAAGATTAGTGGTGCAAAGGAGAGAATCGAGAGATAAAGAGAACCCTAAAATTTTGTATTACAGACGATGAAAAGGTCAGTTCTTTCTTGGGTACCATAGAACTATTTTCCACAATGCAAAATGCAAAACAAATGCTTATTAATATACATTCACCTGGTGCTAAAGTCCATTGGACATTTTAGCAAGAAAACCAAGGAAAATCATGAAGATAGTTTGGTTCCATAAATAATTATATCATATCATGTTGTATAATATTTAAATATCTACAAACTTACATTATATTATATATATCTACAAAGTCTTAAAATAGAAGACAAAATTGTGATGTTCTTTGCTGTCAAGCAGAAATCATTACAAACACAGGAAAAGAGGGAATAATAATATTTTTTTAGCAACAAAAACTTACATTACCCTGTGATGCATGGTAGATTGTATAAAAGGGACGAGAGGCTGTATTCCTCCCCCACTGAACCACCACAATCAGATCTTGTGCACAATTTCTCATATGCTTTAAACTGTTGAGGCTCAACAAAAGGCAAAATGATAATATAATAACTGCCCTTTGTATGTAAAACCAACGGCCATAACATAAATTCTTCTTCGCCACCCTCTCTTTTAATGGAGAGTGATATAATGTGTCGTGTGATTGGATCATCAACCCAGGAATCTGATCCTTGAGTTGACTGAGCGAGGCGGATGCCAAATCCTTGTGCAGAACCCTCCCTGATCAAGGTAAATTATGCGTAAGAAACTCTCGTATCAGATAAGTCATCCATGGCATTGCAAAGAACACAATTCTCATAAACACCATAGTACATAAATTATGGCTGTTGCAAGGAAAAACAATATGTATAAGATTTCACCAAAATCTAGAACGAAAACACCATAGGACATAAGTATTTGGAACCCTAGTTATTGAGAGAGGTTCTTGATGGTACGAATTTACCTCCTCTTCCTCTCAGAAAAAGCGGAAACCAGTTCAGGATCCGTCGGTAGCAGAGGCAGCACGCTGTACCCAACAGACTCTGATCTCTCATTCTCTCTCGCACAGGCCAAACGCCACCTTTTCTCCACCACCGGAAATCTCCTGTTAAAACAAGAAAAGGAGAAAACCAAAAAGACAACATTTTTGAAGTCAATAAAGACTCATAAATCAAATATTGTTAGGTTTTCCCCCGAAAAACAACGATTTGGACGAATAAGTGGAGATCTTTAAGGACTCCTAAATACGACATGACAGAGAGCACCTCGATCGAGTATGCTACCCTAGAAATAATAAAAAAAAGAAGGGGATGAGATGCCGGGAGGCGGATTCATTCACCTGGAGAAGGCGACGTTGTCCTGAGAGCTGAGGATCCAAAGGGCTCTGATGCTACAAGGCGACGATGAAGGCATTGCTCCGCTCAGTCGTTCCCCTTCTCCCTCCGGAAGCGAGTAACGCGACGCCAAAATGAATACCGATGAGGGTTTTCTTTTTCCACATTAGTCCTCCAAATTCCTGTTATTTATATAAAAATTCCTCCCAAATTCAACAAAATGGTGCAGCGGCGACATAATCGGTTTTAAATTGAATATGTATCCGCCAACTATTTTATTTGCTGGCTATGGGGTTCGAACCCATGCGCACTTATGTGCAGAAGATCTTAAGTCTTCCCCCTTAACCACTCGGGCAAACCAGCTAATTGGCATTTTATGTTTAAATAAAATAAATTACATTTAACTAAATATAATATGGTCAGTTTGATCTCCTTTCTTTAGATCTCCTGATTTAGATAATGCCATATTATTATTATTATTAGTTTCATCATCATTTTTATGAAAATTTTTGGATTATAATAGTATTAAGTAAGAAAAATCGAATGATATAATGTCACATTTCTTATACCTCGTGACTGTGTGGATCTAAAGAAGCCACGTGTATGCTGGAAACTTGGTGGTTGCTTAATTGCGTGGAACGCAACCAATGCTCCCCAAATCTTTTCTGATGGCGATGCCATGTGAAGCTCGATCGAGCCTGTTCGGTGATCGATGAGGTGTCAACTTCACATGCGAGTGTCGACAGTTGGTCCCATCAGAAGTGGGACCCACTATAAAACGTGTCGTTTGCTGGTTGAGGGTACGCACGTACGCGTGCACCACACCTGACACGCACGCAGAGAATTGGCGTCATGGTTAACCAGGTAAACTTGCATTCGCGCCAGAGTGAGACTCGTCCAAGAATTGGAGCGTAAAAGCTACGGACGCACGCAAACTGGGCATGCATGCGAAGCAAAAGGTGGCGAGAACTGGAAACAAACAGAGAATGGGACGTCGTCGTGGATTGGAAGTCATCAATAGCAGCAGCAACGGCAGTGAAGAAGAAAGGAAAGGATGCCGAAGTGTCGACCAACCTCTCGACAGAGTACAGTCCAAGAAGAAAGCCTCGGTGAATGCATGTGTGCGGTGGTTGGTGTGGGATTTGACCAACTCCAGCATCTGCTGTCGTTCTTCCCTCTTCGCTTCTCCCTTCTCTTCTCTCTTCGTTCCCACCTACCTACCCTTCCCAACCCATCTACCCACAGACCGCAGCCATATAAAACCTTGTGTTCTCTGCCATTCCTGTTTTCTCTCAGCTTGAAAGGGTTCTTCTTCTCAAGCTTTTACCAGTTCATCGCAACCCCTCCTCCTCGTCCTCTTCCATCTAAGTTTTCTTCTGTTATAGCTATATATATATTGCGTCTTATAGATGTCACCAATGGCGGCGGCCATGCTTTCTTCTGCGCCAAAGCATGTCTTTAGTCCCACCATCCCGCCGCCGGACCACCAGGCAGCTCCTCCTACAGCGATCCCCAAGCACCGCCCGGCCATCCGGCGTGTCTTCTCTACCGCCCTCCGCCCCACCGTTCGATCCATCTACCTACCGGACTCCTCCTCCGCCTCCCCCTTCCATGACGCTGTCGGCCGCTCAGACTGGCAGACCAACTTCGCCATTCTCGCCAGCAAGGCCTCTTCCTACTCCTCTTCTCCTTCATCTTCCGGTAAGGACGGCGCCGCTTCCAGTGAATCCACCAATGGCAACGATGGTAACCAGTACCACTTGGTGAGCCCTCCTCCTGTTAACGGCCCGAATCAGAGCTCGGCGACTCTCGACCTGGTGCCGGTGACCAACCTTCCCCGGCCGCTCTCCATCGCCTACCTCTCGCCTGCCCCGAAGCATGGGTCCCGGCTCCGCGTGGCGTACCAGGGCGTCCCGGGGGCATACAGCGAGGCGGCGGCAGGCAAGGCCTACCCCAACTGCGAGGCCATCCCCTGCGACCAGTTCGAGGTGGCCTTCCAGGCGGTGGAGCTCTGGATCGCGGACAGCGCCGTCCTCCCGGTGGAGAACTCCCTCGGCGGCAGTATCCACCGCAACTATGACCTTCTCCTGCGCCATCGGCTCCACATCGTGGGCGAGGTTCAGCTCCCCGTCCACCACTGCCTCCTCGCCCTCCCGGGCGTGCGCAAGGAGCAGCTGACCCGGGTGATTAGCCACCCTCAGGCGCTCTCCCAGTGCGAACTGACGCTGACGGAAATGGGCCTCAGCGTGGTGCGGGAGGCCTTCGACGACACGGCAGGCGCCGCCGAGTACGTGGCCAACAACGGCCTCCGTGACACGGCGGCCATCGCGTCGGCGCGGGCCGCGGAGCTGTACGGGATGCAGGTGCTAGCCGACGGCATCCAGGACGACAGCGGGAACGTGACGCGCTTCGTGATGCTGGCGCGGGATCCCATCATCCCACGCACTGATCGCCCCTTCAAGACCAGCATTGTCTTCGCCCACGACAGGGAAGGCACGTCAGTCCTCTTCAAGGTGCTCTCCGCCTTCGCCTTCCGGGACATCAACCTGACCAAGATCGAGAGCCGGCCGCACCGCCACCAGCCGCTGCGCCTGGTGGACGACGCCAACGTCGGCACCGCCAAGCACTTCGAGTACATGTTCTACATCGATTTCGAGGCGTCCATGGCGGAGACCCGAGCGCAGAACGCCCTCGCGGAGGTCCAGGAGTACACCTCCTTCCTCCGAGTCCTCGGCAGCTACCCCATGGACATGACCCCCTGGGCGGCATCGTCCACCACCAACTCCTCGGCTTCGTCTTGACTCTTCAGATCTGGCCGTTCGTTTCCTCCCATCGCCGATCCGACGGATGCGATCGGTCAAAACCAAACCCCTTCTTCTTCTTTGTTTATCGTCGCAGAGTACGTGACGACATGTGATACGATCGTCACCAACCCACCCACCATGGCGTTTAATTACTGTGTTGCCGGCCATGAAAACAATGTATATTTTTTCCCTTCAAATTATACGAAAATAAGTGTCACTATTGAGTATTGTCATTACTCGAAAGATCTAAATTATATATCTTTCATTTATTATGTATCAGAATAATTCTGATTAACGTTACAAATGTGAGCGGAAGATTTATGGTGTAATCTTCCGCGTCCTAAACACATTATAACGGTTTCAAGACCCGCTTCCACACATATATCGTTATAAACCGGAGGTTGGCGAGGATAGTAGGTGGAAATCAGGTGGAGGAAGAGAGACGTGGTGGGGTTGGTGGCCGATGGCCAAATTGATCCACATGTTTCGTCCGATTTGGTCCAATTAGGGTTAAGCTCATAAGATAACTTTGTACCGAAAAATGCATCTCTAATATAGTCAACAAGGAAGGAGGGACATGCAACTCGATATAGCATATTCTGGTATCCACTCATCAATGGATATGTTAGCTACCACAGTGAACTTGGCACGGTGTTCCAAATCTAATGTGGTGCACCGAGCTAACTTGACACTTCAGACCTGAACAAAACAATCGCCTGACATCCATGCCACCAGCACGTTGCACTAACATCGTGTGCCCCATCCTGAGCTACTCCATAGGTGTAGAGCAATGATGAATGAAACAGGGCCAAACAGATCAGACTATGCCCGTATCCCAATATACAAGCTAACCACCTATGGCGATGGTTACCTTTAAACATCTGTGTACAGAGATATCAACAATCATTAACAACTATGTACATCAATACACGACAATATGTATAAAAGTCACTCTCAAGAATAATGCTAGGTCAGACCTCGTACACACATTTCAACTATTTCATCTCCAGTTCTTGCTAACTTAAATATTAGAGGGGTCGAGTTGGGAACCTCTCTCCTGATGACGACCCAAAAGCAGGCACACGATGGACAGCTAAAGAAGTGATCTTCAGCCTCCATCTGGGAGAATGAGGCCTATGCCGCCTCAGTCACACCTTAAGTTAATATGCTCTAGCTAAATAATCGTGCTAATGATCTTGCATAGAGACGGGCCAAATCGTACTGACAACTAAGCCATGTTTTCTCACCACTATTAATTCGTCTATTGAGGAAATCAGTAAAGATGCTTCCTTGCTGTTTTCTCTTCCTCCTAAAGAATCATCCTATGGATTCATTCTTGCAACAATTCCATTACAGTTCCTATATTATATTTGGTAGTTGAGCTGGCAAATGGAAAGAAGAGAGAGTCATAGTAGTGAAGGATTACAAAGACATGGCAAGATATTTCTTTCCTGCCAGTTCTCATCTACTTAAGCAGGTGAGAGAAAGTGAAACTGCTCGTTTGGAAACCAAAGCGTGGTTCTTACTGGATAAAGAGAAGAGGATGAGGACATAGCCAAGTTAAGCAAAGCCGCAACCCTCAGTTACAGACCTTAGCAACTGGCAAATGCAGGCCTGTCATCTGCTTCTACGATCTGAGATCGAGGAAAAATTGTTTCATCAGCTTGTGGATGGTCTTTGATGTTGAACATTCGTGAATTTGATTGGTGTGATGGACTTGATTCCATTGTCAATAGATGTTGAGCATCAGCTTCTGTAAGATCTGCCATGTTTCTATCAGAAGAAGACATCTGATGCCACAGCAGCAAATGCTTCTGTAAGATCTGCTGTGTTTCTATCATCTGACTTCTTTTATCACACAGAATCAAACTGCACAGAGTATGGTTTATAATCTAATGCAAATCATTTCTACTGGGTGTGATGTCACTTTCTCATACTTTGCAGCAACATATGATGGTGGCTCATTAGTCAACGGATGTATAACTTTCTTTTGTCAGTTGACTATTAAAGAGATAGATCAGGAGTTTCTGAAGTCCTTTTAGGTGTCCTTAGTAACCTAAGAATATTTTTCTTTGTACACTTCAAAAAGCTTCATTAAAATATCATGAAATACTCAACAAGTGAAATTTAAATTGATCAACATTCAGTTCTAATGAATTCATATCTGGTTTTGGTTTCATGGATTTGAAGGTATCGGATCTGGAGAAATGAAAGGACAACATTATAAGGTTGATAAGTTGAATTATGAAAGAAATCCTTAAATAACAAGGCCTAAAAAAAATTCCCCTGATTTATATGAGAGAGTATAAATAGTCTTAGAGTTAAATTTAATTTTTAGTTTTCTCTTACATCATTAAAAAATGTATTTTTCTCTATGAGGAATGTCAAACCATATAAATCTTTTGTTTCCTGTTATTTCTAAAATTATATATTTTATTATTATTATTATTATTGTTATATATGTGTATATATATATATATATATATATATATATATATATATATATATATATACGAGGATGGTTTTGTCTTTTCAATTATGCAATGATCGGTGGTTTAATCATGATGATGGATGTTAATGTGGTCAACAGTAATGACCTGACTTTAATTTGAAATTGATTATATGAATTTTTTTTTCTCGTTGAATTGTATATTATAATATAACTAATTATATAGAATACTTTATATCTTTGGAACTTGATATGGCACATGACAGCATACTCTAACCACAATGACACGATGTGGAGCCTCAAAGCTGATGTGGCAGGCCACGTTGACAGCTCAGGTAACCCTCCCCCATCCCCTAGCCTATGCAGGATAGCATAAGCGGCGTTGTCGAGTATAGAGCCATCCCGAAATAATCAGGAGGACGTCGCTCGGGGACAATCCGTACACGTCGATCGGAACAACACCGTCAAGTATAGAGTCGCCTCGGAATGGTCAGGACAACATCGCTAGGGATGTTCCGCACAGCGCCATCGAGCATAAAGGCATGGGCCGACCGCTTAAGGGATCGATGATCATTAACGTATAGGGTACGATCGTTCCCCGCATACAGGTATAAAAGCTCATCCCTTGGTCACCGTCGGGGGACTCCATCCAACTCCACAATACTGATTTGAACTTCGGAGGGGTCAAGTCGGGAAACCCCCTCCCGACCTCGACCTTGTGCAGGAACTAACAAAGAAGCAACATCCACTCGTCGAGAGAGAATCGCTTGCCCGAAGATGATGCTTGGATGCCCACCCGACTTGATGTCGACGTGACTCGAGCATTCGCATGGGCAACCTTACGCATTTGGGAATTGACCGAGTCGTGTTGACATCTCGATCACAGCGTGAAGGTTCACTAACAGAACTTATCGTATTTTATGCTCTATAAATAATGCATTCATTAAAAATTTATTCCTCACGGTGAATAATAGGATATACATATCTGTTTCATAATCAAAATTCACAATTAATCTGACTTAGAACTTTCATCGACAAATTGATATCACCAACAAACAACATATGCAATGAAATCACGACTAGTAAATGTTGTGGGAAACAACCTGGGAGCCGTGGCCTTGGGGCCGACGTGGCTCGGTTCGGGTCCGGACGATGGGGATCTCTCCGGGGCATCCCTCGAGCCCGCGGGGTCGGTCTGGTGCGATGGTCCGATCGGGACAGGGTCGCCATCTCCTCCGGGCAAGGACTCGTCGTCCGCGCGTCCAGCGGGAACCCTCGGCTTCGTACCTTCACAAAGGTCGGGTCGGGAAGCTTGACCCAACCCCTCCGACGATCAAGTTAGAAGATAGTGGAGGGGGTTTCAGATGAAGAAGTGTTTTTAGTGTGCTTCATCCCCATTCTCGTTCAGAATACGAGGGTATTTATAGGGAAGCTTACTGTTGTTTGATGTGCCCGCCTGCAGGAGGCAGGCTGGTAGCGTCTGACATGGGCGTTGGCGTGGCGTGAAGAACCGAGCCTGAGTAGGCGTTAATGCGCCTAGGCTGGTGTTCCAGTTTGGTTGACCGAGTGCAGTCGCACCGATCGAGGCGTGAGGCGTCGGCTGACGTCAGTCGAGTCTTATCGTAATTACTATCCTCATCATATTCCCCCCCCGAAAAGAAGCTATGCGTCGGACGTTATAACGGGAGTCCGAGGCATGGCTTTAGCTTTCAAACGGGCTGGCCGCGCAAGCGCGGTCTCGGGGAAAATGGAGCCGAGGAGCATGATGCAGGCGGGCTAGCCGCGCAGGTGTGGTCTTGGGGCATGGAGCCGAGGAGCACGACACAGCCGGGCTGGCCGCGCAGGTGTGTCTCGGGGAGTATGGGGCCGAGGAGCACGACGCAGGCGGGCAAGCCGCGCAGGTGTGGTCTCGGGCATCATGCGGCCGAGGAGCACGACGCAGGCAGGCAGATCGCACAGACGTGGTCTCGAGCGTCATGCGGCCGAGTAGCACGACGCAGGCGGGCAGACCACGCAGGCGGGCAGACCACGCAGGCGTGGTCTCGGGCAGCAGGCCGCCCTAAGGGGGGCTCGACAGTCTATGTCCGAGGGATCATGCAAAGGCCGAAGGATGTGACTCAGGCGGGCAGGCCGCGCTGAGGTGGACTCGGGCAGTCTATGTCCGAGGGATCTGGCAAAGGCCAAAGGATATGACTCAGGCGGGCAGGCCGCGCCGAGGTAGACTCGGGTAGTCTATGGCCGAGGGACGTGGCTCGGGCCGAGGGACACGACTTAGGCGGGCAAGCCGCACTGAGGTGGACTAGGGCAGTCCATGGCCGAGGGATGTGGCTCGGGCCGAGGGACATGACTCAGGCGGGCAAGCCGCGCTGAGGTGGGCTCGGCAATCTGTGGCCGAGGGATGTGGCTCGGGCCAAGGAATGTGACTCAAGCGGGCAAGCCGCGCTGAGGTGAACTCGGGCAGTCCGAGCCATTCGGGTGATCACCCGACGTTCCGGGCCCTCTTTCTAGTGCCATAATGTTGCGGTGAGCAACCTGGGAGCCATGGCCTCGGGGCCGACGCGGCTCAGTTCGGGTCCGGACGACGGGGATCTCCCGAGGGCGCGCCTCGAGCCCGCGGGGTCGGTCCGGTGCGATGGTCCGATCAGGACGGGTTCGCCGTCTCCTCCGGGCAGGGGCTCCTCGTCCGCGCGTCCGACGGGGACCCTCGGCTTCGCACGGGAAGCTCGACCCGACCTCTCCGACGATCAAGTTGGAGGAAGATGTGGAGGGGGTTTCGGATGAAGAAGTGTTTGTGTGTATCTTGCCCTCTCTCCCCTTTTACGTTTAGGATGCAAGGGTATTTATAGGAGAGTTTGGTGTTACTTGACGTGCCCGCCTGCAGGAGACAGGCTGATAGCGTCTGACATGGGGGTTGGCATGGCGTGAAGAACCAAACCTGAGTAGGCGTTAATGCGCCTCGGCCAGTGTTCCAGTTCGATTGACCGAGTACAGTCATGCCGATCGAGGCGTGAGGCGTCGGCTAACGTCAGCCGACGTCTTATCGTTATTACTATCCGTATCACTTACTATTAAGACTGAATAGCAGAGACGGTCAGAATATTTTGATCACTCAACGAGCTTAAAACTGTTGAAATATATTAATTACCAATAATTCGATTATTTACAACATAAATTGAAGGACACATATCCATTAAATATGCACAAATTTTACATATATATATATATAAGGGCATAATAAAAAAATGTACATCCCTTTTATCGTAAATATCACCAACCGTCGATCACGGCTGACTATTTTAATCTCGACCGTACACCCAGTTTCATGAAAGGTGGGACCCAAAAACAAGATTTGTCCGAGGTCATCGGACGGTTGAGATTAAAGAATGTGTATTAAATCGACGGTTGATGAAAAACTTAGCACCAGCGTAGTACTTGTGTTCGTGCATCTAAGCCCGTGTGAGAGGCACCACCCTTTCTCCGGTGGACTCTGACGGCGAGCCCTCCGCTGAAGATGGCCGTGAGGCCGGGTGCGAACTTCGGCGGACGGTTACCTTCGATAACTTCGACGTCGAATTCGCGGACGACGGACGCGATCACGCTCTTCATCTCCATCAGCGCCATCTCCTTGCCGAGGCAGACGCGAAGGCCACCCTGGAAGACCGGGTACTTGAACGGGCTCTCGGGTGTGAATGCGCCGGTGTGACGAAGCCACCGCTCCGGCCGGAACTCGGCCCAGTCGCTCCCCCACAGATCCTCCATCCGCCCCATGGCGTAGACGTGGTACGTCATCCTCGTCCCCTTCCTCACGAAGGTGCCGTCCGGAAGCACGTCGTCGTCGAGGCAAAACTTGGAGTCAAACTGCACCGGCGGGTACAGCCGCATGCTCTCGCATATGGCCGCGTTCAAATAGTGCATCTTCCTCAGTTGGTCGCAGCTCGGGAGCGCTTGGCTGTTCCCGACAATGAGCTCGACCTCGTCGCGGATGGCGGTACAGGCCGCCGGGTGCCGGGATAGAAGCATGAAGAAGCTTGTCAGGGCGGACGCGACGGTGTCCCGGCCGGCCAACATGAAGCTGACGACGATGTCGCGGAGGTACTTGTCGTTGTCCACGCAGCCCATGAACCGGGACAGGAGATCCTGGTCCGACGCGAAACCAAGCTTCCTTCTCTGGAGGATGACTTCCTTGGCCAGGAGATCTACTAGCCCGATCGCCTCCCGGAGCTCTCTCTCCGACCCCCAGTTGAAGAGCCGCTTGGCCTTCCATATCAACGGGATGGTGTGCGTCGCGCGCCGCGCCGATAGTCTCGTGGCTTTGTCGAAGGCCGCCGCGAACTCCGACAAGGACAGCGACAGCTCGAAACAGCCGGGGTCGAGCCCGAACGAGATCTTGCATATGTTGTCGAACGCAAACCTCTGGAACACGTCCTGCAGGTCGAGAACCCGACCGCACTCGCACGCCACATCGAGGAGGGGGAGCAGGCGGCCGCCGACCTCGGCGGCAACGGTCCGCGACGCAAAGGCGCGGACCGCGGCGCTGCCGAGCTCGGTGCTCGCCATCTTGCGCTGGAACCGCCAGAGGTCACCGTCGACGTTAAAGATGCCGCGGCCAAGGAGGTCGCCGAGGATGGTGGCGAAGGGCTTTCCCTTGGGGTAGTTGTCGAAGCGGGTCTTGAGCATGTGTTCGACGTTGTCGGAGTTGGCGGTGACGGTGCAGCCGAGCACGTGGACCGTGACCGTCCGCGTGGGCGACGTCCGGAGGAGGTGCGTATACCAGTCGCAGAGGTTGTCGAAGTCCGCAGCCCACGACGACGTCACGTACGCTTGGCACACGGCGCAGTTGCACCACCATGGCCGGATCCTCAAGAACTCTACCAACACAGCGAAGACCACATAGGAGATGGAGAAGGAGAAGAAGAGCAGGGAGAAGTGAGACCGAAGGGCTTCCACTTCCATTCTATCTTCCTCTGTTGTGAGGCCAAGGGGCGAGGCACTGGTTACTTATAGCGATACCACAATCTCACATCTCTCTTCACCATATCGTTCGAACGTAGCTGTTTTCGGTGGACGGGGCAAACAAGAAAACGAAGGGATGGCACGGCAGTGGAGATGGAGACTGGTACGCTCAGCGAAAGCAGAGACCGGCGTCACGAGGCGTGTTTGTTTATCTCAACTTGGCCTCGAAGAACAGTAGCTTATAATAATTGCTGGTGACGGAGGACATTAATGACGACCAAGCTCTGATCGTTCGATCGATCTCGTGGTTTGTGCACGGCGTTGCCCACGGCGTTGCTCCATCTCCTTGGATGACATTAATGCCTCTGCAACATCCGTCGTCCATCACTATTACTATCTACGTGACTATGAGCCACAAAAAGTTGACCGAGTTGTGTCTCGTAAATGGAAAGTCAACAGGTACGAGGGATAGAGATCCCAACTAGGCGGGGCCAGACGAGGAGTGTTTTCTCGGCCGCTCTCATCCCCCATCCCCCGTCCCTGTCATACCAGTTCTTATTTAGACGGGGCGGGCCGGGCCGGGGGGCACCCTTTTTCTCCTAATTAATATATTATTATTATTTTTCTTCCAGCTGTCGATTTGCGGAATATTTGGGGCCTTGCGAGATGATGTGGTCCACCAGCGACTGATAGTGTGCGCACATGGGATAATTGCTACTACGACTATTCCATCGTGATCATTCATGGATACTGTTCTCAAACACAGTTGTAGTGTGAAGTGTGACAAGCTACCTTCGAAGCTTTCTATCGCAACACACACACGCACGCCTACGGCTGAAGCTTGGGACCAACATGGATCCTCGCCAAGCTCATGCACCACCACCATCCTCTACTCCTCCTCATCCTCATCCTCCACTGCAGCTGCTACTCGAGGGACACGGACAGTGACCTAACCTCCTCCGATCTGAGGGGATGTCGGCCGAGGACTGTTCGATTAGGCCCCGTTCTCTGCTGCTTGCCTTTTGTGGCACAGCAGTGGAATCGTCTCTGCGAGGCGATGCACGAACCAGAGCAGGATAAGGACGCAGGGAGAGCCTCAGCTTTCCCCAGTAGCAGTACAAGCTCTAATGGCCAAGCTGACATCCTAACATGAACCGGTACACACTTACGGAGACCATTTTAAGTCGCCGAGGGAGCTGTCGATCACTCTGCTCGACTTCTCGTGAGGGAGAGATAGGAATTCCGTACTCAATGCTTTTTTTTGGATGTCCATTTACCCTCCTCTCTCTCTCTCTCTCTCTCTCTCTCTCCCACACACACACTCACACACCTCATGGATGATATCTAAGTACGAGATTTAAAGAAACTTAAGTCTGCGTGATCAGCACAGTCGATTCATATGAAGCTGAATTTTCTGAGGAACTCGTAATTCTTTCAGGGAGCTCATATGTGGCTTATGCTACAGTGGAATGCATCATGCAGCTCTCACTATGTGCATCAGCATCCAGGCCTGAAGAAATCATTCTGCATGAAACCTGATTTGGAGATGCACCAAACAGTGTGGCACTGTCAGCGCAATTGGCATTTAGCACCAAGTGCATCGCATCGCAGCCGACACAACACAAAGTTAGTTGGCTCAATCACTGCACTTGGTAGATCAATCAGATTGAAGGTCTCATTTCAATCATCTTTTTTCGCCACTTCAGGATCATTTTCGTCAGCATTACTACCTCAATTTGTAGTTTGTTCATTTCCATAGCCTATAGGATAAGCTCTGTTTATCTTTCTCGTCAATCATCACAAGAAACAGATATAGGGATCTAACGAAACATGCTTCACACAGAATTCTGAAGACTTCAATCACTAGTGATATAGTCTACCATTGATCCTGTAGCTGATGTTTCATTCAAGTGGAACATTCATGAACCTGGAGGGCTATGGTTCATGCATGTTTTGCTGCAACAATGAGCTACTCGGTAGGGCCTTGAAAAGGCCAGATTGCTCCCTGTTGCTGTCAGTTTGCATGATTCACATGCCATATTCGCAATTGCTTATTGGACTTAAGAAACTTGGGAGGAGTTTAATGACTGCATGCATGCATGCATTTTGAACAAGAAAGACTTGCTTGATGCAGATGTAGCAGAGGAGAAGCAGAACTTACAGCTTACTAGAATGCTGAACTAAACCATGAGCAGCAGCAGTTCAAACATAAAATAGGAGAAGAATATGATGGCCAGCAATCAGGGATCAAAACAGCAGTGACAACTACTGGAACATCCCCCATGGACATAAAATGTCCATTTCCTTCCAATGTCCTCTTTCCAATTGATCATTGTCTTTTCTTTCTTTCTTCTCATCCTACTTTGCTGACAATTTGGAAGCTGGTTTCTGGCATGGCTAATTGTACATGTGATGATTGATTCTTGAACAGTTTATCTACAAAGTAATCACTGGATGCTCTTTCATCTCTGTACAAATTGCACCTCAAGTATCTACCCAGTGGTTCATCTTAAGCTTAGATCCAGCAATAACCTAATGTTCAGCAGATGAGAATTAACCAGTGAAATTTACAGCAGATTTTTTGGATCATTGACATCATGCTTAGAACCTAGTAGTTGCAGTGGGCAAAGAAAGCAAGAAAAGTGAGACTTGAACATGTTATACCTGGAAAAGCTGCATACTTTGATTCATAGTGTCAAGTGCGAAAGTTACATTTAAGCTGAGGGCAGCACAAATTGGGAGGATGATCCATCAAAACGATGGATTGGGCCATCATCTTAGACCATCTCATTGGGCTTCAGAAAATACATGATAAGAGGAGGAGAACTGGAAATGTACAAAGGATACTGTTTCCTTCACTCTTGATTCTAGCTATTTCAGATACAGAAAAAGAAAAAGCAATCCAATGGTGATAAACTAGCATCATTTTTCTTTCCTTGGAAGAATAATTTGATCCCTGAAGCAGAATGCAACAATGCTAACATGAGACATTCAGTTCCATTACTCAAAGCTCTGTTCAGCACTCATCTCACCTGAATCTTTACATTGTTTCACATTAAATCTCTAATGATATATACTTGGAATGACAAGGAGCCACCTTAAGCTACAGATTCAGATTCTAACACAAACATTTGAGAGGACTACCTCCACAGTATTCAGGAGGAGTAGGGGGAAGAGTACACATGAACACTGTTGCTACAAGTGTAGAAATGTGCATGGCAACAGACCTGCATAGACAACCATGAAATGCTTCTCTTTCAGAGTAAAGGTGGAGAACAACCCCAACCTAAACAACATGAAACACTCACCTAAGACACAGCTCAAATATTTAACTTCTGCTTAGGAGTCGAATGGCATCGAGGCACTCTAAGTTGCACCGATGCATCTGAAGCTAGTTTCCAGTGAAGGGAGTGATCTTGATGACAAGACCTGGGAATACATCATCGAAGTCTTGGACGTGAGGATTCTCCTCGAGTACGAACGGGTCGCCACACTTGTCGATGATCGTCTGAAGCGTCTCTCCTTCTCCGACCACGTATATCTCGTCGCAGGGCCGGTCGTTCACCGGCAGATACCTCCGAATCGGCGCGCCGGCCTCGTCCGGATCACAGCAGTTGGAAACGAGCAAGAGAATCAAGAGCAGCGCGCAGTACCATGAGACCTTCTCCGCAACCATCCATGTCATAGAGGAACAGCCAGCCATGGTCGGAGGAAGAAGAACAACACACCACCGTGGTGGCTTATCGGAATCGATAACGGCATTTTATTGATTCGATTTCGAGAGGGTGAGACATTTTGAGGTGGTTGGAGTTGGAGTCGATGAATGAGCGGTGGGAGTTCTTTGTCTTGATTGCTGGTGGAGGTAAGTAAGGGTTGTGGCGGGAGGTCAAACCACCATTGCAGTGTAGTTGGTGAATACGATGCAAGGAATATGGGGAGCTTCCGACTCCAAACACTCTGCTAATAAATACAATCCTCAGCTCCGGTAATAATGTTCCATTAGATATGATAAAAAGAATAGAAGATAAGAACACTTATTGAAAAAATTTTATTGAAGAAGTGCGAAGCTTCGTTTTTCTCAACGAAGTTAGTCGCTGGCCAAAGGCAAGAGCACTTATTGAATATAAGATAAACACTTATTGAATAAGCTTTATTGAAGAAGTGAAGAAGCTTTATTGAAGAAATAAAAAATGCTTCAATACATTAACATGTTCCCTCTCCTATTTATACAAATTAGGAGAAAGAATTTCCCTCAACAGAGAATTTTTCTCAACAGAATAGAGAGATTATCTTCTATCAAGATCTCCACTTGCACTTATTGAAAGGAGGAGGAGGAGAACATCTTCGACTAAAATAGAAATCTCAAAAAATTAATAAAATAAAATTATCATAAATTAGAAAATCAATATAAGATTAACACTTTTTGCTAATATATATGAAGAACAAAATAATTTTATATCATATGAGTTCAATTATAAATATCATAAATTTGTCTGTATACTTTCGTATATTAATTTTTAAAAAAATTATTTTTTTATATCTTTTTTCTCATTCTCTCTATATATATTCAAAATAATTTTGTAAATCCTTTTTGTATTAAAACCTATACACATGTGAGATTTTATAGAATAATCAAATCTTAATTTTGAAAATTATTTTCTTTAAAAAGAATTCTTTTCGGGCTATGATTACTTGTCGAGACTCGAGAAATTCAAAAATACTTATTGATCTAACAATTATATAAAGTAAATAAGAAGAGATTCTAGCATAAGCAAACACCACACTAATGCCACTTTCTAATCTCCTAAAAGTCAAAATAAGAAGGTATCAGGAACTTGCAAATGGATCCATGTTTTGTTTTATATTTTGGTGCTTTTGACTTTTTGTGTTCTTGGCCCTCCAATGTTCCTTTGACAAAGGTCAAAGGTCAACAATGTAGTGAACCACTTCACATTTGTTCACAGAGCAGAAGAAATCAAAGAATGGAGTCTCCCTTGGTTCCTTCGATCGGTTCAAATGCTTTACAACATTTCCATGCTTTTGTATATATTTATTACAGATAAGAACTTTGTATATTATTTAACTACTAAATAAACTTTTCCATCCTAATAAATATTTAACTTTGTATATTATTTCCATCCTAAATATATTTAACTTTGTATATATTTATTACAGATAAGACCTATTACTTAATACACTAATTGATCTAGATATAACTTTCTAATAAAGAGATGAGAGAGTTATGATGAAGGGGGAAGCTAGAGGGAGGAGAGAGAAGAGAGTATTGATTGAGAAGTTGAGAGAAAAAAGAGAGAAAGATATCGAGGAATCATTGTCGTCATTTATATTTTGTTGTTTGTAGTCAGTTGATTGTTGGAAAAATCACCGTTCACTGATAAAAAGAGTTTGACGAATGAGGATCGATAAAGATAAAATTAGATAATCACCGCTACAAACCTACGATTAGGCATTGAGCGCGTATAGTATATGGGACTACACAGTAATGAGTTATTTATATTAAAGAATGATATATTTTATTTGATTCAATCGAATTGAATAATTTTTAATCAACTTATAATCGATTCAATCAAGGTTTACCCAACTCCCAACTAATGTGAATCAATGCAAGCCTAACTCATTTAATGTTTGGACTTAGTGTCTTGTCCTACGTACCGATGGGGTGAGGATAAGTATGGGTACAAGATGGTCACTGTTCTAATCGTTCTCGTCATGTATTTACATGAATAATATAAAATATTTCTTTATTTTTATTTACTTTTTCATCCCGTCCCGTTGCGGGTGGGTCTCGATGGATACATACACAACCCAATATAGGGATGGACGAGGATTACGGTTCCCTATGTGATATTCATAATAAATCTAACAATAATGATATTAAACATAAAAAAAATAAAATAAGAATTATAAAAATAATATATGTATTTATAAATAAATATTTTTTTAAGGAGACATATACATCTCCCAAAAACTTATGGTTAATCAAGTGGTGCTCACATAATTAAACACCCAATAACTATTATAACTCCTTTATATGATGGTTTCATTTACTCAAATATTATTTTGAGAAATGTAAGTTGTATAGGATCATGATCACCAAATAAGACTTATACTACGTGATATGATTAATCATGCTAAATTGGTTTCAAAAGTAATCATAAATGAACTTTCCTATTCCGAGAAAGGGTTGCGATGCTCATCGTCGTTTCAGAGTACGTTCGATATGATCCGACGGTACATAACGACTTGTCTTGAGATCGAACGGCACACGTAAATCCGAGGATTGAACCTTTTCTTAACGCCTTTTTATGCTTTTTACCACGCTAATTTTATTTTCCGCTTTAATCTTTCTCTCGTCTCGATCGGCGAGAGAAGAATTCGATTCCGGATCGCTGTCGCAAACTCTCCCAAATCTTTCCCTTCTCCGTCTTGGTTCGGAATTCGGGTTCTTCTCATCCGATTCCTCCATCCAATCTCTGTCACGGGTCGCATTAGGGTTTTGGTCTTACACCCTTCTAGGGTTTTGGAACCTCGAATTTGAAGTCGGGAATTAGTCTGACAGCGCTGAAGGTTCGGCGGGAGCGGTGGAAGACATAGGTGAGGATGATCACCGAGAAGCCTAGCTGGGTTACGCATGAGGGGATGCAGATCTTCTCCATCGACATCCAAGCCGGAGGTCTCCGGTTTGCCACTGGTGGCGGAGACCACAAGGTGAGTCTTTTTTTTTTTTTCCTTTTCTTTCCGATTTATTTCTCTTTAGGTGACCGCTTTGAAGAAGGTGCCTCTGTTTACCTCCGTACTTGGGATCTCACGTAGATCTAACTGACGTCCCTTCTTCCTTATGCACGTTGCTGACTGTAATTGAATTAAAATGATTCCTGTTTGTCTTCGAATTTTGACAACGCTAGATAATTCATCTTATTTAAGAATACGTGTTTGGTTGATTTCGCGCGTACACTTTGAACATGGTTAGTGCGATCTCTTTTTCATTTTGAATAAGGTTTCAGGTATTAAGAGAGTAATTTTTCTCACGTGTTATGTGGATTGTGGTGTATATTTTTGGTGCTCTTTTGACGTGAAAAATTTATTGATCAGTTTTGTCAGTTCAAGATTCTATTTCATAGTAAACATTAATCTGATGTCCATATGTTGTGTTTAATATGGTAATTCTGTCACTGTATTTGCTTAATATTCTTTTTCACTTGCCAAGTGCACTGGGTGGGTGAATTTCCTAGTCACGTACATTTTTATGTAGAATATGCGACTTATTGGGTATTTTGTAATTTTTTTTTGTTAAACTACATTGTAGCTAGCAGTTCAACAGTTTGTAGTTTCCATTAGCAGTCTTTTGTTTATTCATTTATTTATTTTTGTTGAGAACTTGGTGTTAGAGTGATGGGAACTTTGGCATCCAGAACTTTTATAGTGTCACATGAATTTTTACAGATACTAATCGTCTTCTGCTTTAATGTAGGTCCGAATATGGAACATGAAATCAGTAGCAACGGACTCTGAAAATGACTCTTCAAACCCAAGATTGCTGGCTACTCTGCGTGATCACTTTGGATCAGTCAATTGTGTTAGGTGGGCTAAGCATGGTAGATTTCTTGCCTCTGGATCGGATGATCATGTCATTCTTATTCATGAGAGAAAACCTGGGTCAGGTACTACTGAATTTGGCAGTGGAGAGCCTCCAGATGTGGAAAATTGGAAAGTCACTATGACATTGAGGGGTCATACTGCAGATGTGGTAATTAAATCTTCTCTTATCTCGATGTCAATCTTTCAGGCTCATTGAGCCCTAGTACTTTTTATTATGTGTTTCTATTCACATTAAAAAGCAGTTTTTCGATGTTTGAAGTAGGTAGATCTCAATTGGTCTCCGGATGACTTAACATTAGCTAGTGGTAGTTTGGATAACACAATTCATATATGGAACATCACGACCGGCATCTGCACTGCTGTATTAAGAGGGCATTCCAGCTTAGTCAAAGGGGTTACTTGGGATCCTATTGGTTCTTTTATAGCAAGCCAGTCAGATGATAAGACTGTCATCATATGGAGAACCAGCGACTGGAGTTTGGCCCACAGGACAGAAGGCCACTGGTCAAAATCGGTAACTTTTGTACTCTAGATCATTTACTTTCTATATACCATTTTCTATTCCAGTAATATTTTCTTCTATTAGTCTGTTTCTTAGTAGATGTGCTCTTTTGCAGCTTGGCTCTACATTTTTCAGACGACTTGGGTGGTCACCTTGTGGCCATTTCATCACTACGACTCATGGCTTTCAGAAACCTAGACACTCAGCCCCAGTACTGGAAAGGGGCGAATGGTCTGCTACCTTTGACTTTCTAGGTCACAATGCCCCTATTATTGTGGTAAAGTTTAACCACTCTATGTTTCGGAAGCATTTTTCTAATACTCAAGAAGCAAACACTGCACCTGCTGGATGGACCAATGGGGCATGTAGGACTACATCAAAAGAATTCCAGCCGTATAATGTGATTGCAATTGGAAGTCAGGACCGCACTATAACTGTATGGACAACAGCGAGTGCCCGCCCTCTGTTTGTTGCTAAACATTTTTTCACACAAAGTGTTGTAGATTTATCATGGTAATACATTTTTCTGGTTGTTAAATATTTGAATTTTTATTATTGTTGCTCCATATCTAGTTCATGATCTTTAATCTAAACCTCATCACTGCTGAAACAGGAGTCCTGATGGCTATGCACTTTTTGCCTGCTCCTTGGATGGGACAGTGGCCACTTTCCATTTTGAAGTGAAGGAGTTAGGGCATCGATTAACTGATACTGAGCTGGATGAGATAAAGAGAAGTCGATATGGAGATGTCAGAGGAAGGCAAGCAAACTTAGCTGAAAGTGCTGCACAGTTGTTGCTAGAAGCAGTATGTGCTAAGCAATCAGTGAGCAAAAAAGGAGCATCCAACATTGAGCAAAATCAGATATCTGGAAATGCTTCCATGGATCCAATAAATGGAATCAATAGCCAGTTAGTTCAAAAGGCTCCTGAAGCCCAAGCTGGAGATGACAAGAAAAATGGAGGAGCCAATATGGATGGTTCAAATAAAATGCCACCTGTCCAGTTATCAAGTCCTCCAAAACAAAGAGAATATCGTCGTCCTGATGGGCGAAAAAGAATAATCCCTGAAGCAGTTGGAGTTCCTGCATATGAGGAAAATCTATCTGCAGCCCAAGCTCAACTGGTGGAGTTTTCTTCCTTGGCTTTGGATCAAGTGAAGGATGATCGTAATGCTGTTGCAGATGGTGGGGTAAAAGAAGCTTCCCTGAAGAGGCCATTTAGTGGAAGCTATGGTGCATATAGCTACTCTGACAAGTGCAACAACTGTGGATCTAAAGAGCGTTCTGGACTCACTGCTAGGGCTAACATTAATGACAGCCTTATTATTGAGAAAGCACCAGCATTGACTAGCACTGATGGAAGGACAAATGTAGAACACATGGGATCTATAGGTATGACGAGTTATCTGATGACTTCCGGTGCTCTTTCTATTCGGGTATCCAATAAGAAAGACGGGGAAGATAGTTTACCGATTTGCTTGGAAGCTAAGCCCGTAGAACGATCAGTACATGATGTAATTGGTGTTAGCAATTCAGTTTTTACAAAAGAAACTGAAATAAGTTGCACGAAAGGATCTGAAACTCTGTGGTCTGACCGTATATCTGGAAATGTAACTGTCTTAGCTGGAAATGCGAACTTTTGGGCTGTTGGTTGTGAAGATGGCTGCCTACAGGTACTCCAACAATTGTTCTTCATACACTGAAAGTTCATTGAAATTATTGAACCTTGGCAGTTATTTTTGTTAGATGTTAGTTGACTGCCACATGCTTGTTGTTTTCCAATTGTTTGAGATTTTGTTTTATTTTGAGTTTAAAGAGTCAGAACGAATGTAGATATTTATAATAGTTATACTTTTTGTTGATTTGTTGTCAGCATATCATAACAATATTGAAGAGCATAATTGTTAGGACTTCGGATTAAAAAAAAAATTCGAATTGTACGTATAGACAAAACAAGCTCCCCATGTTAGATGTCTTTTGGCTTTTGAGTAGTTTTTTCTATGGTTTAGGATATTTTGCAGGGTTGCTATAGGACACTTGATCACCAGTTGGCTTAATTTCTTATTGCTGCATGTCATGCATACCACGTGATGCCACAAAACATCTTGCCAGGAATTCTGCTGTAATTTCTTGATGTGTATGTGTGAACTTGACATATTGTGATATCAAATAATTCTGTAGTAAACCATTTTGGAACTAAAAAAACTGTATTATTATGATGATTGTTTGCGCATGTTATATGAAACGCTCAGACAGTCTATAGGATAATCTTATTGATTTCCAACAGGAAAGTCTCTTGAAGTTCATATAAAAAATAGTGTCATGTTATGTTCTATGAAACCTACTGAGGGAACATGCAGATGCATGCACTGCTTCAATTAATTATTAAGGCCTAAGATCAGAAATACTAAAGATTATGGGGTGACATCTCATTGTACCATGGACTAAAATATATGTTAAATATTGAATAGGAAATTTGTGTTTCTATTTATAGGTATAAGAAATTAACATTCTTTGTTTGTCTTAACTTCTAGACAGAATGTGATTTCTGTCTATTTTTGGTCTCAACTTGGGAAAAATGGACAGTGTGTTTTGCAGTCTAAATACATACATACATACATATATATATATATATATATACCATTGTCTAATATATTTGTCATATTTCTAACTAGTGCTTAGCAAACATGATACAATAAATGTTCTCTCTTTTGCTGTGTTGACACACTTTCCTTAGTCTTTGTCATTATCTTTCAGAGGAGAGACTGTATATGGTTGCATTTGTGATGATAATAATATATGCATACTCACATAAAAGCTTCATATGATTCACAGATTTACAGAACTGATGGCAATACTGTTCTAGGATATATAAGTAAGGATAACATGTGCATGGAGTTACTTGTTACCTAAATTTAGCTGCAAAGCCAGGATCTACAAGAAAAAGATTAGGTGAAGGATCACAAGGATCTTGCCCTTGAATGATTTGAAAAAGGCTAGATTATGTAGGCTTATCCAGCATGCAGGTAGGTAGTTTGAATGATTTGAACCAAGGTTTAAATACTGGTCGAATTGGAAATTGGTATGTATTGCCCATATTTATTGGTTTGACCAAGGACCAACATCAAAACATATAGCTTGATAGCGACAGAGTGATGTTCATTTATTCTATCATACCAGGAGGTACAGGTAGGGACACAGTGCATGCAGTATATCAACACCGTACCAGCCCGATAGGTTAGCAAAATTGATATTACATGGCATTTAAAACCTGGATTTGAACTATAAGCATGCATGTTGCAATAAAGCAACTTTTCTGTAGCATTAAGACTTGCCTTTAAGATTATGAGTGTAGAACCAACTTCAAATTTATATCTTTTAAGTTCTTCAATTTGCAATTACCTATTTAATGGTATCTACAAATTTTGCCATGGTCAAATTATTATTCTATAAACAAATTGTAGGAATCAACAGAAGTAAAAAAATATATATATTTTGTCATATAAACCCAGTTTGATTGGAATTTGCAAACCATAACTAAGCCCACGGAGCTGACAAACGAGGTAATTTTGTTTATAAGAGTTTTATTCTTGTAATTCTAAAGTCACTTCCATGAATTACATTCTGTTTGTTTCATGACTTCAAGGAATTCTAGCAACTGATCTTTCTCACTTAGTGCTTACCAACTACTGAACCTTGATCTGAGTTAAGTTGATTGGCATGTTCATTATGGTTAAAATTTGTTTCTGAAAACACTTTCTTTTGTACATCCCTTAGCTCTTTAGAGTTATGCCAAAAATATGGATCTTTTTGTGCTTCTTTTATTTTACATCATTGTTGGCTGTCAGCTTTAATAGACATTTTATTTTCCATAACTGTTTCTTCTTGTTTAAATTATAAATAATGGTTGCCCATTTATCTTTGTTAGATCTATACTAAATGTGGAAGACGAGCAATTCCAGCCATGATGATGGGATCTGCTGCAGTTTTTGTAGACTGTGATGAGTCTTGGAAGTTACTTCTTGTTACAAGGAGAGGCTTGCTGTATGTCTGGGATCTTTTTAACAGGACTTGCATTTTGCATGAATCTTTATCTTCTCTAGTTACTTCAAGGGAGGATTCGTCAGCAAAAGATGCTGGTAAGAACTTTGAACTATATGATTCTGATTATAAAATTGGAAATTTTCAAGGCATTATGATGTTCGTTAGAAGTTTGTCTTTGATCTGTTTCATCTCATTAATCAGGTACAATAAGAATTATATCTGCAAGATTTTCAAGATCTGGTTCACCCTTGGTTGTTCTTGCCACGCGTCATGCCTTTCTGTTTGACATGAGCCTGATGTGCTGGCTAAGGATAGCTGATGACTGCTTCCCAGCTTCAAACTTTTCAAGTTCTTTTAACTTGAGTCATATTCAAAGTGGTGAATTGGGCAAATTGCAGGTTGATGTTAGCAAATTCATGGCAAGAAAGCCAAGTTGGACTAGGTATGCAGAATGTGCATCCATCAATGCCAGTATGAATTTTAACAAATATAATTATTTTCATTTGTGGTAATGTTTCCTTTCGTGTTTGTCATGTTTTGTTCAACTACTAACTTCGAGAAATTTTTAATACATATATAGAGTGACGGGTGACGGGACACAGACACGTGCACATTTGGAAACACAGTTGGCATCATCACTTGTTTTAAAATCACCTAATGAATATCGTCAGTGCCTTCTATCTTATATACGGTTTCTTGCAAGGTAAGTACATTTTTGCCTGCAATCAATGAATTTATGATTATGTTCTTCTTGGGTGTTTATGTTCATTACTTGTATCTGCATCATTTACTGCTCTTGCAACCTCCCTAAGGCACCACTGTGATAGACAACTTGGGATTTGCCCTTTATCACCTAAATAAGCTGCTGCTGTTTCTAGGGTGCAAGCGATCATAAGTGATATATTTGTACATAGATTTGTTCAAATTTTCCCACTTTGAAATAGAATTTTTAGATGAACTGTAGCACACTAAGATATCTACGGTCATATGTAAAGCACCTAATGTGTAAATGGTAATATTCAAATAGTTGCTTGCAGATGGAATCAGCACTAATTTTTATCATACATGAATGAATGATGCTAATTGACAGCAGGATGTTCGAAGAGATGGAAGTATTGTTCCGAATGCAATCTATGCAGATCTATAATGTGGATATCTTGTATGACTGCTTCACATAAGATTATGTTTTGGTATATGGTGTGTTACTATCTATGCGGGATATGTGGCTGCTTATGGAGTCCTCATAAGAGTGTAATGGCCATGCATATAATGTAATGGCCATGCATAATGGCCATTATATATAATATTTTCAAATTCTAGCATTCAGCACAAATGCATTGGATACATGGCTGCATGCGGCATTTCCACTGTGTAGTACCTTGACCATCTTTCTACCAGAGTCACTTTGGAACATTAGATGGGAGGTAACAGAAAATTGACTATTCTCTTGAAATTTATAAGTTATGATTTGACTTGTGCTGGTTACCCGAATGCAGTAGATAAAACTCTTCATTTCTTCTCTGAAAATTAAATAGCGTGGAATTCATCATAGTAATACTTGTATGCAGAGTACACCCCTGCAGTATGTATTATGCATGGTAATCAGTTTCCTAACTAATCATTTTGGTGAACTTTGTTTTTTGCTTAATTGTGTTTATCTTGTGCTAGTTCTTTTTCGCCCTCATGTCTACGGATATTCATATTTCATTTGGTGTGCTTCATGCCTCCAGAGAAAAATGTCTTCATTCAATTGTAGCATTTTTTGAAACTTATAGGGCACAGCTTACAAGATGAGGACTGAGATAACCATGGTCTTATTTTACAGAGAAGCTGATGAGTCCCGATTGCGTGAAGTTTGTGAGAGTTTTCTTGGCCCTCCTACAGGAATGGCTGACGCCACACTTGTGGACTCGAAGAAACCAGCATGGGACCCCTATGTGCTTGTGAGATTCTCTTTATCCTCAATCATTTTCTTTCATGTGTGGTTGTAGCATTTGTATTTTTTCAAAATATGTTCGTAGCATTTGTTGTTTGAAATCTTTTCGTTTGTTCATCTAGTTAGCCCTCGGTTTGGATTCAGCCAAAACGAACCTTATTTTGACCTCTTTCAGGGGTTGTCTCAAGCCGAAGTTCTTTTACTTTTATTCTTTTTTCAGCCTCAAATACGTCAGTAGTTTTTCAAATGCATTTCGTATACATGTCGACATAAGCAGTGTTATGCTGTGCTCATCATTTGAAACTAAAATAAGATATCCAAGGAAGGAGCACGAGATGGGGAATTCTTATGTCTCATAGGGGTCTATGAGAGATCCTCCTTCAAGTTCTTGTTACTTTTACCTTGCCGTCTTATAATTACTGAAACTTTTGGCCAATTTATGGTATCGCAGGGAATGAAAAAGCAGAAACTCCTCAGGGAAGATATTCTTCCAGCCATGGCATCGAACAGGAAGGTCCAACGGCTGCTAAATGAATTCATGGACCTTCTTTCCGAATACGAAACCAATGGCACTAATGCCGATCATATGGATGTTGACGGTCAAACAAATGATGCCAACATATAAAGTTTGGTATTTATCCTATTTTATTTTCAACTTTGTTCAAAATATAGTTGGTCCGATTCATGTGACAGAATGTAACAGAATTAATGTGCTATATATAAAAGCCAAAATGATTCATCTGTATCTTTCTCATCTGATTCTGATATTGTAGTTTGTGCCTTTAATCGTCAGGGTTTCATTATGTAAAAAAAAAATGCTAAAAGCCTGAAAGAACTCTTGTATTCCCCTTTTTGCTAATTGATTCAGGAATCATTAAAAGTTTCAATGGAGAGTGAAAACATTTACATTTTGTGACTAACAATTAACTAATGTATGATGAGTTGGATTTATGCTGCTGTAAAAGCCTTTCACTATGTGTTTAAGGTTACAGGAATGCATGCCTTTTTTATTCCCTGATGAGTGTTTATGAGTCTTATTATATATGCCAAATACTATTTTGACTTTTGTCTTCGTTGAGAAAAAACTGGCCGCCATGATCGAGCTGTATCACCCCGACAAGAGGAGAGAAATGGAAGACGAGGGATCTGACGATATCTGTAACTCGAGATATCTCAAGCAGGTCAGAGTTGGAGGAACTCGCGGAGAGAGGGCCGGAGGAACTCGAAGGCAGCAGCCCACCCGGCCTGAGTCGGGTGCACCGAGTCCCAGTAGAAGTGTTCCTCCGGGCGGCGACACACCCCGTACAACCTGTTCCCCTTGGCGTCGATCTCTCCACACTCCGTCGTGTTGGATCTACTCACACAACATGGCACCAACGGGTGCTTGATCTCCTTTGCTCCCTTCGCTGCAACGCGGAAGAAAGAAAAGATCAGCAGAAGAAAGCCACTGAATTCGTGCGAGATTGCGGAGCTGCAGACCTCGATGGAGCACGTTCAAGAAGGCTGTGTTGACGTCGAGAGAGAGGAAGGTGGTGTCACTGCCTCCACCCAACTCCTGCATCAGCTCATCGACCCTGCGGTTGTGCTCTGCGACCGCGGATGACACGTTCGAGTAGCAGGCCGTGTAATTGGTCGGCCTGGTGTAGGACGGAATGCATCCGATCGGGTGCAGGTTGGTGACGATGACCTTCGGCACCCCGATGTGACTGAGGCGTTTCAGATCTACCTTGAGCTGCGCGAACAAACGGTGCATGAATCCATGGAGGTGCTGCAAGCAGAGGGAAGAACTCCATCAGCCCGCGAACTGCGTCTTCGTTCATGTTAATCGACACTCACGTGCAAGTAGTCCGGATCGAGCTGGGAAAGGAATTGGTAATCGTTCCCGGAGACAGCAATCAGCGCAGCGGAAGACTTGAGGTCGTGTCTTGAGAAGACGCCATCGTCGATCTGAGCCTGGAACTTGTCTATCTGAGCTGTTAGGTTGCTCTGGAAGTTGCCGGTGTCGAAGATCCCGGAACCGGCGACGGCGAAGTTCATGCCGTATGGCAGCAGCTTCTGGCCGAACTTTCTGATCCTGTAAGGAATGGGAGATCTGATCCGCAAAAACGAGGCTGCCACACCATGTAGACACAGCTTTTACTGCAGTTCTTAGATATGCTTGCAGTCTAACAGTGTCAAGGAATCGTATCATAAAGCGAGAGACAGAGAGAGAGAGAGGAATTGACAGACCAACGTAGTCGGTGAGGACTCTGCCATCGGAGAAGCGGCCGGTGGGCTTCCTAGGGAAGGTCATGCCGTAAGGATCGAACCATGAACGCGCGAGCCTCCCCAGCAACCTCCCCAGGTTGCCGGTGTCGACGTAGGAGTCGCCGAAGACGAACAGCTTATTGACATAGTGATGCTCTGGTCTCTGCTTGCCGTGAGCAGAACCAGCAATCCGAGTCCCTGAAACATGAATCAGTCAAGACATGGAAAAAGGGCTCGGTGAAGGAGATGACGGTCTTACCCATCACGAGGAACACTAAAGAGAAGACATAGAGAAGGGCGAGGAATCGGTTGGCCTTCGCCATGGTAGAAGACAGAGATAGAGAGAGAGATGGAGCTGCTGAGATTCATGTATCGAGACTGTCGAGGAGAATTTATAGGGATACGACTGGATTTGGAATCTTGTTTGCTTCCAAGGAAATAAAGATCGAAGACATGAGAGTATTATTATATCGGCGTAGTATATATCGATCGACAATGGAATGTTGATTGGGGGCATCAGTAAATTAATGGTATCTCGGCATTAACTGTGTTCACATTGTCATCGTCGTACAAAGCGGTTGATGTGCTTTCCTTCGGCCTCCGAGCCCGTCCATGTCGACTTCGCGGAACACGGCAAGCTGAGGGAGACCTCCTTGCTGAGTTCGTCGTCCATGTCGACTTCCGGGGACACGTCAGCTGTGGGCTATCTATCATAAGTTTATTCTTAAGTAGATTCTGATCGTTGGAGGTGGAATTAATATAATGATGAGGATAGTAATTATGATAAGATTCGGCTGACGTCAGATGACGCCTCACGCAACAGCACCTGGTCAATGCAGATTGGAACGCCGACCGAGACGCATTAACATCCTGCCAAAGCTCAATTCTTCACGCCACGCCAACACAAAGTCAGACGCTACCAGCCTGTCCCCTGCAAACGGGCAGCTCAGGAAGCAGTATGCTTCCCTATAAATACCCTCTCGTTCATTAGAAAGAGGGGGGACAGACACACAAAAACCCTTCTCATTTGAAACCCCCTCCACATCAGCTAACTTGATCGTCGGAGGGGTCGGGCTGAGAGCCTCGGCTCGACCTTTGTGCAGGTGCGAAGCCGAAGGTCCCCTCTGGACGCGTAGGCGAGGAGTTCCTACCCGGAGGAGACGGCTACACCATCCCGATCGGACACCGCACCCGACCGCTTCAGCGGGCTCGAGGAGCGCCCCAGGGAGATCCCCGTCGTCCGGACCCGAACCGAACCGCGTCGGCCCCGAGGCCACGGCTCAAAGTTGTTTCCCACAACATATAAGTAGAAGCCTAACTCAATCATAAGTTAAGTTAGTTTGACGGCGATACGAAATCTTAATCGGGAATAAATTTTCATATTTAAGTTAAAATTTAATAAAAATTTTAGATAATTTGGTAATATACTTGTGAGATAGTGTGCTTTCTGATAAGATATATTTTGGGTCCAAGTCGAGCCGTGACTCATCAACCACAGTTGTTCATCAACACATGAGATTTTTGATAACTATCTATGTAAGGCTAATAGTGATAGTTTGATCTTGCAATAATATGACATCAAATATATATAATATATATATAGTCAAATATTTGTATTCTTTTCAATAATATTAGTAACAATGATTGAAACTTAGGGCATGCATGCATGCATGCATGCATGCATATGATGACATGGCAAACAAGCAGTGAAGTGATTACACTCGAAGAAGAAGGCTCTACAGAGAAAACCCTCGAAGCGATTGTAACCGTGAAAACAACCACCAACCTAACCCACCAAATGTGCCCTACAGGGAGTGGTGTCCGTCCGTCATTGAATGATCACACGCCGATCAAACCGGTGGACCGATTAATTGAACTTTGGTTGTCAGTAGCGATCAGAAAGCATGCTTTGATGGCTTCACTCAACCAGTCACATAATGTTGCCTTGATTTGGACGTTCAACTATTTTTTTCTATAATTTTCTTTTCAAAAAGATTTTGTATAAAATGAAGACGATTTCTCTCGAAAAGTTTATCTTTTTATTTTTATTTTAAATATACTTCTTATTTTTATTTTTTTCAAATATTTTTTTTTAATATTTTGTTTTCGTGTTTCCGTCGATAAAACCAACCGACGACGATGTTAACGTAAATGAATTTAAATGCTTCATTTTTATTATAAATTTTTAAATCTACTGATCGATCGAGATAATATATAATTAATCCTAAAATTTATCTAAAAACTCAAAAAAATAATATTTTATTTATTTTTTAATCTTTAAATATTTTTTTTTATAAAATATTAATATATAATTTTTTTATTATATATATACAAAAAAATCCGGAAAATACTTATTAACTATAAAACTGAACGAAATCGACAACCGTGAGGTGATTGGGGGGAGTATTTTGGGATATCTCTTCTCCATGGGTAATTTGCGTTGCATCGTCACCGAGGGAGGGATCTCGCCCTTTCCATCGTAATAATGCCAAGTCGGAAGATGTGGCAAAGATGTCGGAATCGTGAGGACAAGCGAGAGAGATGACATTAAGGCTTTCCGGCATGCTTCATCACCAACGCACCCATCCGTGGAAACAGATGCACTTGCTTGCTTGCTTGTTAAGAGACATTGGCTGTGATATTGAAGTACATCAGATGCCGCTGCCGCTGCCACTGCCGCATTCAATCAAAAGTGGCATCATCGAGATCTGTGGAGGTGCCATTAGAGTGCAGGCTTGCGTCTTCAAAGAAGGTTCTGTAACTTTACACCGACTCGCTCCCATGGTTGATGCCATCAGAAGCACACATTGGGTGGGCTGCGCACCTCATCCCCATTACTTTGGGACAACTGCATCCTTCGGGAGTTCCAATGAGCTGCTACAGAATAAATGCATTTACCAATAGCATCTTATCCATGATCTTGGAAGAGCCAAAGTAGTGACATAAAAAAGACAAACATTTAATGTGGAAATGTGCCCATGGATAAAAATGAAAAAAAAAAAAAAATCTCATTTCGATAGTTACATGCTTCGCTATCGAACATTACGGGTATCTTTTTCCTCTCTTACAAAACATATATACAGAGGTTAAATGGTCTTCGGCTATAACTCCAGATTTCTCCACTGATGTTACGAGTTGAGAAATCACAGCAGGTACTAATTCTTTACGGGGGAGGTTCGATGATTAGGCTTCTTCGGTGACATTTTATTCCGTTTGACTGCTTGACGAAGCACCCTCATCCGTATCTAGCTCCTGGTCAACCCCTTTGACCTGTCGATCAAAAGAGAACAAAAATAAACCAGACAAACTTTTTATATATAAGAAATCAACAGTAATACAAAGTGATATGTCACTGTTATTTGGGAACGTCTGTTTCCGTCAAGATTCTTAACTGCCTCGTCCTATGAGATGGAAAGTTGTACAAGAGCTAAAACATTTTAGCATACTTGAATTCTAAAGGACATGCGGTGGCACTCGAAACAAATGGATGTCATGATATTACCTCCGGCACATAATGCATAAGCATATTCTCGATGCCAGACTTCAATGTCACAGATGAGCTTGGGCAGCCGCTACAGGCACCTTGCATTCTTAGCGTGACTATCCCAGAATCCCTGAAGAAGAGCAAACATTAAGTAAAATCAAGCTACCGCTGAATCAACATGGGAGTATAGCTTATTTTTTGGTCTGATGAGAGCAAAGAAGAGAAATACGGATCAAATCCACGATACTCGATATCCCCACCATCATCCTGCACTGCAGGTCGAATTCGTGTTTCTAGTAATTCTTTGATCATTGCAACAATTTCTGAATCGTCCTACAAAAGTAACGCTTGGCCTCAGAATATCACAAAAGTCAGCATGCCGATAGTATATTAGGTCCTAAATGCAAAAAAACAAGTTATACCAACAATATAAAAGTACATTAAAAAGTCAATATTAAACTGTAATTCCAGGCAACACATCTAGTTTGCACTGAGCTGAATAAGTTTTCTCCTCATGGAGAAAACTACGATGCTAGAAGAGAGCCGACCATTAAACATCCTGCACCTACAAACTTTTAGTTATGTTACACCATTCAATTCGTTTACTTGTTCAAGATCTTTGTTTTCCAATGACAACCGATCCCTAACTAGGTCAACTATATTCTTTTAATTACAGAAGGAACCAACTTGGCATACAAATTCTGGTCACTTGCATATTATTTAGATATGATGATACCTGTAGCAATAATTGAATATTCCACAACCAAAGTGCATAAGTGATACCTCATGGATTGCTGTGTCCATATAAGCTGCAACATTTGAGTCGAGCAAAAGTGGTTTTCCAGATGAATAGAAGTCCATTATTGCTGCAAAAATCTCGGGCTTCAGAAAATCCCACGAAGCTTCTTCTGACTTTGTTACCGTGACAAAATCTGATCCGAAGAAAACTCTTGAGACTCCTGGATTAATGAAAATTCAGTCAAATTTCAGCATGTCTATTTGCAATGTAATCAGTCATTTGTAACAGAGAAAAGGAGCAGTATGCTGATAAGCATATGGATTAAAAATCCAGCAAGAAATAAGGATATCTGGATAATATACCGAAGGAACTTAACCTCATAAAACATCCCTTTGCACAAACACCTTACAACTTAATAAGCAAAACTTCTCTTCTTCCTAGGATTCCTAGGACGAAATTGCCCTGCTTGTGCTACACTGCGCCAGAGCTTTGTCTTGCATAACCATAGTTCTCATCAATGAGATAGTTTAAAATCACTTAGATATTGCATGGCTTAGTTATATCAAAATTGCAAGCAAGCAATTAAAATTTTGAAAAAACAGAACCTATCTCTACACCCATAGACCTGAATCAGGCTCAGATTGATTCCAAACTCACCTCGCCAATAACAAAGGGATCATCCCCTCTCAGAGATGACAAGTGTTAACCAGGGGTGTCAACCCACTCTCAGAGATGAGAAGTGTTGACCAGGGGCATGACCCTTCCTTCAGAGAGCTGTATCATGTAGCGGGGGCTGGTTAAATATGAAGCATGGACATGGAAAGGGGGAAATGGAACACAATATGATACTAATAGGTCAACACAGAAAACTGATAAAAGTAGGACATGACATGCATGCAAACAGCAACTATTATATCCACACCTCTACGTGCTATTGTTGTTTTATCCTCATACCTGGAGAACTTATCGAAGCCAAAGTAAAACACTTAATTGTGTAGAAAGATTCTCCTAACTGTAACCTACGTGAAGATGATTGATACTACTTACCCAGCAATTAGATTAGAAAAAACATAGATTTCAGTATCCATATAACCCACATTTAAGAAATGTAAAATGCAAATTTTGACAAAATACACATAAGCATAAGACATAATAATAGCAACTACAAATACCATACGTGATATAGGGAACAAGAAATTATTAAGAGGAATCACAATTTCAAAAAACAAAACAAAACAATGAATTAAATATATAAATGATATTTATAACACCAACAGATAAGTTATCAACATAATAGAGTATACTAAGTTATTTGAGCAACAAATCAACTATGTTTCTAGAGATTTGATGTAAAAGAAAGATACCATCAATGGATAATTATCCAATTCAATATGAATAAAAAACACATTTAACATGTCATCGAAGCTCACTGTTAGAAGTCTAAGAATAGCAAGAGATGAAACAGAAAAGAAAATATACCATCAATTTCAAACATAGATTTAGCCAGTGGTGAAGTCATAGCCGAACGAGCATTGGGAAAATCAGCACTTCCAACTTCCATTACCGGTTGTCCTGGATAAAACATGAGAGACAATGGATTGGGTGTCGACTGTGTTTGGATAAACAGGCTCCTCCTCTGTCCTGAGCATATAATGATCAGAGCAAAAGTAAGTCTTCCGCAAATTTCTGCAAGAGACAGTAGCTTCATCATATGTTACAACACACGATAACACAAGTGACATCAGCATAACATCAGGTTAAAGACTTAAGGTTCCTGATGCAACGATGACTATTCCAATCAGATGGTAAGGTTCCTGATGGATGCTAATGTTAGTTTCTTACACTTTGATTGTCATAGATCTCTGAAACTGATTAAAGAAAAGATAAAAAAATGAAAAAGAAATGTTAAGGAAAACATGCAAAGAAGTTCCAAAGATAGAAGCATATACAATTAACCATGCAACTTAATTTTAAAAGTAGTATGAGCATTCTCACTCCCGATAAGATGAAAATAAGTTACCCGAAACCTACATATGAGATTATTAATCAAACAGAGACGCTGCGAGTAGTGTTTTGACCAATTAATTTACCTTCCTGATTAAGCTAGCCGGTTCCTCAGGACCTGCCATATCACTACTTGTACTTATTAGGGGGGGGAGAAATAAGCCTTAACAGCTGCCTAATAAAGAGCTCATATACACACGAAGGATACCAATCAACCCAAAAGTACGGGCACTCAATGTGCTATGTCCCCGTACTGTCTTGCATCATCGTCGTATGAGCCATTCACTAACAAATGAATGTTCAACATCATTATTGTCCTAATTACTTATAAGTACATGCAACAAAAGTACCTTTTGAGCTTATTGACAAGCACAATGATGCCAAAGGCAATCAAGATGCTATAACAGCGGAAACTTTGGGAACAGATGAGAACAGAAGAGACAACAGAAGACAATCTGACCTCCGAACCGAATCCACGGTGACGATGCCCATGAATTGGATGGATTTCGAGAAAAGGGCCATTGATTCCGAAGAGGAAGAGGGATCGACGCAGAAGAGATTGCACGAAGAGAAGCATAGAGATAGCATCCGCTACTCCCCCTGATCAAACTTGGATTAGGATTTGTAGTCCTACCCAAGAGATAGGTTATCGCAACCAGCCTTGCGGATCTCTTCATCCCCTGCTTCGTATAGGTTGTCCTGAGACCTACAATATACTAGAAGCGGGAGGGATCTCCTGTTACCCAAATTTTGACGAACTCCAAACAAGAAAATAGGCAGGGCGAGATCGTATACCCGCTCCTTTGCGTCGCTCGACGCGGGCTTCCAAAAGTGCCGCGAATGCGGGCGAAGGGCGAGAGCCACCGAGGGGGAAAGGAGATCGATGTAAGCCGAGGTAGAGACGGCACCGATGCCCGTGCTTGGGCAGAGGGCAAGCGTGGCGGCAAGGACGGCGAGAGAGAGAGAGACAGGAGCGGGTTCTCCAGAGAGATAATAGAAATACTTTTCCTCACCCGTTTATTCATTCCACATCGACGGGTGACGTATTTCATTAGAAGAAAACTGGGCTCCACTAGACAATTTAACACGTGGCAATTTTATCTTGAATCATTCACCAGGTACGATTGGGTCAGAT